ACAAGAAGAACGAGCAAGAAACTTGCGTGTTGCTGAATCGCCGAAAAAATATTGAATATATAACCAACTGGTTAAACAATTAATAAGTGAATGGACGTATAAAATGTAAGAAATACTCGGATTCATTTTAAATATGTATGAAATATGAGCTGGTTATTGAATAATATAAAAAAAAATAATCAAATAGTAGAAGTTAACCGGCAGCCATGGTTATGCTCCATAAGTCCTTCCATGGTTTGGAGTGTCATTTCTATTCGCCCCTTATGGTTCGGTGAAGCTGTTAAGGCCAGCTGCAGCCAACATCAGAATAGAAAAATTAAAAAAAAATCTGTTCTAACTCAAGTTAACCCGAGTCATGTTTATTACGAGTTAGCACATATCTAATCGAAATAACTATAATAGCTTTGTTTAAAATATCGATTATTTCATTTTGTGATTTGTCTATTGTAATACAATATAAAATAAATATATTGAAAATATACATGTAGGTATATAAATAATCAAGAATCATAATATTTTATGTCTGCTATCATTACTTTTATCAAAAGTGACACTAATTTTATATCGATGAAAATCACTTACAATAAAATGCAAAATAATCATCTAGTTTGTTTGTGACTTTCTTTATGTTAAATAAATTGACATAATTTCCATTTTATTTCATACAGAAAGTTCATGTGCGAGTGGGCGTGTCTTAATTTTGGTATATGATATTTCTACACAAAATATCGAAAATCGATCATTTTCGTTATTTTGACATCCCTATGAAATGACTCGGGAAGTTAGAACATTCCATCAGAGTTGCCAAACTAAAAAACTGATCTACAAAACCAGTCTACAAATGTGATAAATATCCATACATAAACAAAATTTACAATTTTTATGTTTACTAATATAAGAATAACAAAGTTATTTTACGTTACGTTAATAAACTTGCCAGACATAGACTATAAGTCTTTAGGTTATTATTTAAATTTTTCATTAACTTTTAAGTATTAGGTATTTTTGTAGGTGGCAACACAATAAAATAGGGTTATTTTTCTTCTTTCGTTTATTTTATATTATTTCAGCTGAAGGGCTTGTACCCATGCTTATGAATAAAAAATAAAAAATATGATATGTATTATTTTGCACCGATGTTCACACACAATGATTGATTTTTAACCAAATCTTAGCTTAGCGTGACATGAATGCCGGGCTCAGGGTTGCCAACCTTAAAACATTTAGCGTCGTACGACGAAGTATGAAATCTGTTAAAATCTTGTATTTGATCTCAGTTTGGTTTCTCGTATATTATTATATTTTTGCCGCTTCGTACGAAGTACTACAACTTTGGAAATGTTGTCGTACCAAAGGTCGTTTCTTAATTGCATCCAGGTTGCCAACAGCACGATACGAGACTTGTGCCATACAAGTCTCGTATCGTACTGTTGGTTTCCTGGATGGTCTCTGCCGTGCCGCTTTGGTATGCCCACATGGCAGTATCGGTATCATTACCGTTATATTGTAGGCATTTTGAATAGTGTATGTTTTTGATTCCATAAATACTGCCATAGAAAAAGTATTTAAATATTAATACTATTTCTGTGAAGAATTAAAGAACAAAACTAAAGAAAAACAATTGTTTAATATATTAATTAGTTATTATACTATTAGTATTTTTTTAATAGATAGTAGATGGAGCTCTCGTCTGCGGTAGCAGTACCTGCCAGCCAGGCTTAAATACAGTTCCCTGGGATTGTTGCCCCGGAGATCGGATGTCGGGGATGTTCGCTCCAAGGCTTCAACATTTCACCCCCCTCTAGGAGGGGAGGGGGTGCAGATCTGTCATGTCAGTGTTTTCATGACTGGAGAGTCAATATAAAAAGCAAAGATAAAATTAATAAAACACCTTAAACAATAAAATAATATTAAGTCTTTATATTGCCAAAAGGAATCACAATCTCATTCACATATACAAATTTAATATAACGATACAACTAAACAAAGCAGACGGCTTTAATATTAGGTGGCTGGTAAACGATTACTTATGTTTTTGACAAATGTGCATACTGAAGATCTATTTTGGATTCGAATCTCAATGTGAATTCCAATCTATTTCCATAAATTTTAAAGCATAATTTAGACTGAACCGAATAATAACAATGATGGTAACAATATTAGATATAATAGTTTTTAATCGATACGAAATATAGAGTCAATACATATGTTTCTATAATATAAGATTATATAGAGTTTAATTCAAGATTACAATATGGTGTAAATCTGCGCAATCCAATTTTATTGGATAGGATTCGTTCCCTTAGTTGATTATTGCGGAGAAATCATTGTTGGCACACTTTATAGCAAATATTTAAAAAAATCGAGGCTATTTTAATTGTAGTTTAGTTTTACTACATAAGCAATCTGAAAAAAACTTTGTTTAAAGTACACTGCGTACAGTGGTACAGTCTATCACATAACGACGTCTTGATGACTCTAGTGGTGATGTCTTATGTAAGCAACGGGCGCCATTTTCTATTTCAGATACATAAAAAAACAGCCTAAATCGGGGTACGTTTACACTTAAGTCGTATCCGTCAGGAGGGAGTTAGCCATTCCATAATTTCAGGTTTGCACTCGCCCACATTTTCGACCGGTGAAGCTATGGCAGTTCTGGTCAGCACCACTAGAATAGTTAAAAAAAAACAACGTTGTACCGCTTTGCTCAATACATAATTATTATACTATATTTACATGCTAGATCGTTTATCGTGCTCTTCATATGCTGTGTGAGTAAATAAGACAGATATTGTAAGTAGATTTTTAATATTCTTCATATAAAGCTATTCAATTTGAACACTATTTTTTTTATTCCATAAAGGTAGCATCTAAATGCTTGCGGTGCGATACATTGCTAATTATTATTATTATTAGAGAAATAACGCACTGTATTTTACCGTACCGTCAATGTCAAGATGCTACCTTAACACATTCATAAAACTGGCTATAAAAAAACCTGCTGTGGAACTGTTTAGCTCTGTTTTTTAATAGCTGAGAATTCGCGTGGACGAGTTGTTACATCGTACGTACTTTCACTCGCCTGGTGGTGGCCAGTCTTTACGCTAGGCGAGTCGACTTTTAGGCAGTGGCGGCCTTAGGGTGTGGCGAACGGGGCAATCGCGCGGGGCCTCGCATATCAACCAAAGCAAATTTTAAACAACCATTGATTTTTTTTTAATCATGGGAAAATTTCCATTCATTTGGTATATGTATGGTCAAATATATATTTTTTATCTTTTTTAAATACTAAGAAACTATGTGAACGATTTTTATGGAAAATCCCTGGGGTCTCGAATAACGCTGGAATAACTCAATCGCATCAATGGTTAGCCACAAAGCCATATGGCCACAAAGGGCCTCGCCAAGACCTGCCACCCGGAGCCTCGCAAAGGGTAAAGCCGCCGCTGTTTTCGGTACTACCCACACAGGAGTAATTACTGCTTAAATGCTAGAAAATTGAATATATACGGTACGAGATTCTATAGCCGGGTTTTCTACGAATTCGCCCAGCAGTTAGGGGTCATCCATAAAATAGATGAATTACATGAGATTTTGTCCCTTCCCTCGTCCTTGTCACAGTTAGTCACATTTCTGAGACTCCTTCTTATCTAGTGTGACATCACATATTTTTCAATTATATATATATTTTTTAATAGGTAAAATTTCATATAATATAAGATTTTTTTAGACAATTGCCCGTGTAGCCCAGAAGTAATTTTTTTTTTAACTGTATTTCAGCGCGGCTCATAGAAGTTACTTGTGACCTGAGAACTGATAGCTACTTTGCCCAGAAGATGAGCATGTATATTTTAAGAGGCAACGCTGTTAGTATTGTGTATACTGCCTCCGTATGTACCGTATTGGATTACAATGATTGTTTTTATTTTAAGTGAATTCAATGAAATCGTTTGCAATAATATACAAATAATACGTATTATAGTATAATAAACTAACAGTTCCAATTTCGTGTTCAATATTTAGCTATATTTTATTTAATTGTGACGTCACGAAAATTAAGAGTGACAAAGTATGACAAGGGATGGGAGTGACCCATGCTTTGTCACTCTTTCATTGTCGACCCCCTCCCGTCTTTTTACGTGTGACTAAATTTATGAACAGCCCCTAAGTGTTAATTTGAGAGGGTTGTGACAAAATACTGTAAGTTTATATTTGTATGTTTTTAATGAATAAAGTATTTTTTATAACCTTTGAGGACAATTAATTTACTAATACGTTATTTAATAAGATTCCATTAGCAGATAGTTCACTACCATGCATTGTTAACATAAATATGACTGTACAATATCACAGAACAGAAAAAGCAGTAGTGCAGTTACATATCTTTATCTTAATAATATTATAAACGCGACAGTTTGTAAGTATGGATGTTTGTTACTCTTTCAAGCAAAAACTACTGAACGAATTTTGTGGTTTGTTGATGAAACTTTATAGTAATATAGCTTATGCGTCAGAATAACACATGCTATATTTCTTATTGAAATTTAACGCGAGTGGAACCGCGTCCATAGCTAGATAATAATAATACTGTTTCTATCAGTTTTTTTGTTCTGGGATATACACACTGACGTACAACTAATTCTATACGCAGTCTTGTAAGCAATAAGGCGATTTGACTGACAACCGTAACGCACCGACATAGGACTTAATTTAGCTTGACGGTAATATTATTAAAATATAACCAATGTGATGCAGTAAATAACAAAATTTAAAGAATACTTGTTTGTTTGTGATACAAAAATAATGTTTATTATATACTAATGCAATAGCTACATACAGTAATCTCACGACTATAACCCTAGGTGGGGTAGTCAGAGTTGACATTTGAATGTAAACAAATATATTAATTTTATAATCGATATATGTTATTGAGTTATTATGAGTATATATAGAGAATATAGGGAGGTTCATATTTAGAGCTATATAATAGTATATATTTTATATACTAGTAATGGAATTTAATTACTGAATTTACATAATACAATAAATATAAACAAATCCTAATATATTATTTATATATTTTCAAATTACGATACGATAAATCCTATAATAAATTTCAAATATTGCAAATTATTTAAAAAGGAATAAAAAAACTCAATTTCCCTATACTTATTTATATCATACTATAAATACAAAAATATTTGTGTATTTTTACATTATACTAGTAAAAGGCTGAACGGATCTTAATGAAATTTGACGTAAAGATAGACTGGATATGAGGAAACATAGGCTATCTTTTATTTTAAAAATACAGATGAAATAGCGGTATACAGATAAACTACTTATTTTATTTTTGTTTCTTTCTTTTCAAACTATATATTATGAAAGAAACTGTTAGTTTAAAATGGATATACAGGCAGTTTTAGTTCTTACAAATAAGAGCATTAAGTTTATTGTTGTTTGCTTATGAATCCGTTAATAGAGAGCCTTTAAGTTTCTCGTATTTGGAATTGTGACTTTCTTTATACCATTAGGCGCCTTTGTCGGTTTGTACATATTACATATACATATTATTGGCGTCATTCATTTGGTGTTGACGGAGCACTGTCTTCCGCTTTCCTTTTGCTGCCGGCCTGTTGCGTTTTTTTATCCGGCTTGTATTTCTCCCACTTTTTATGGTTTAATTGGTCGAAATCATCACAGTATTGCGCTATATCCCTTAAGTAGGTAGACAGGTGTAGTAATTCCCTGTCTCTATCCCTGTTCAAGTGTGCTTGCCTGAAGGGACGGATTTTTAAGCCACTTTTTGGATTCATTATGAAGTTTCTTCTAATGTCGTCGAACATTATTGTGTTTTTAGAACTGTATTGAGTATATTTGCCCCATATTACACCTAGAGGTTTGACCTGAAATTAAATATTGAATACTTTATGTATCATTAATGAAATTACACAATAAGAGGCTTGATATTTTAGTTCTTGTACGGTCTGCTAGTCGAGGAGACCGTTACGGTTGTCGTCTATAATGAATAAAAGCGATTTTGTTTAATAATCCTTACTAATAGTATAAATGCGAAAGTAACTCTGTCTGTCTGTCTCGCTTTCACGCCAAAACTACTGAACTGATTTAAATAAAATTTTGCACAGATAGTCTAAATCCTGAGAAAGGACATAGGTTACTTTTTAATGCTTAAAAGGGTTGTAAGAGAAAGAGGAGATGATATTGAAAGTTATTTTTTAGGCTGTTGAAAAAATATAAATAAAGAAAAAGGGTTGTAAGGGGTTAAAAAGGGAGATGTAAGGTTGTGTGGAAGTATCGTCATTTTTAAAGCTAGAAGTTTGTAACTTATTTTTTAGGCTGTTGATTGAATATTATAGAATTCTGTATGAAATTTTCATTTTGGAAGGTAGAGTGATGAAACTTTTTTTATTGGGTCAGATTACTAAATATTTTATTATTTGGTCAAGGTCACTATTTCACGCGGAGGAAGTCGCGGGTACAGCTAGTAAAATATAATTTATAAAATTCCTATATAATATATAGTCCGTCTTTATATATATATCATATTCGTCGATTTGTAGACTGTTCTGTCTGTTCTAGTTATGTCTTATAAGCGGCCAGCAAGCAGTGCTGTCAATGAAGTCGCAACAGTTCTATGGAATTATAGCGCATGAGGTATCAGGGTTATTACATGATAACGTGATGTTTTTTTTTAATTGATGATAATGGAATGGTGCACCCGCCTGCACTCAGGGTTAAAACTGGCGGAACACTAGAGGAGGATGATACGATGAGCATGAGATCACGTCGGTTAGCCCATCGAGACAATATCATCAGGAACTTATCACAATGGTTTCCAGGCGTGGATGGTACATAGCTGACAATGGGTTCAATATTTAACATTACTAACAATCCCAATCCCCTTGATAATATTTTTTATTTTATTTATTTATTTATTCATTTCAATATGATGTTCATAGTGCTGCTCACATATATATATATAGCATGTATTTAAAGCTGAGATTTAGCTGGACAGGAAGAGAAACACGAGCAGTGCAGGTGAGTGTTGACACACAGAGCAAAGGGGCCACACACCACAAACTTAACCACTAGACCACCGAGGCTGTTGTACCAAAAATGTACCTTACTACATTGAAATAAGAGATATATACTCACATCAATGGTTCCATATTTGGCTGTATGTACAGTGATCATTGCCAAATAGTCTAAATAAAACATGATCTTGTAATCCTGATGCGTGGACACCCCTAACAATCTCATTTTCTCTTCTATCCATTTCATCCCCGTCGCTGACCATATTACTATGTCGTAGTCTTCATATGCCGATGTTAGAAACTCGTGTAAGAATGGTCGCATAAGTTCGTACCCTGAAAATATATAGTTCTTTTGTAATTACAATGGCAAAAAAACTGACAGTCCACCTGATCGCAAATATAAATATATATAAAACTCTCGTGTAATAATTAGTAGCCATATTTTTCCAAAACGGCTTAACCGATTTTGATGAAATTGTATATGTATATATGAGTAATTTTCACCTTACACAGCTATAAGCGGCTTGCTTTGTAAGCTGTTTTGGGACACAGTAAGTAGTGGCTGTGTAAGGTGAAAGTTTCTCAAGTTGACACATGTATTAAAAAAAAGGTACAAAATTCACATCTGTTAAATTTTATAATATAATGATCTATTTTCCTATCCTATGTTGCCCTAATGGCTAGGAATGTCATGTAAACAATGTTTAAGTCTTGACGGAATATGAAACCAACTCATATCTATAATTGTAAAACATTTGAAATTGTTTTCGACATAGAAAATTCTAAGAAATAAAATAAAATATGTTATAATATATAAAAGTTCCCTAAAATATATATTTTTTAATTTTAATAAATAATATATTATAACAAGCCAGTAATTTGAAATTAATTAAATGGTCCATAAAGGTTAATTATGATAAATTAATGTTATCTCTGATATATGTAATGTATGTCTGATAATATCTGCATAAAATATGTGAAATTTATACAAAATAAAATACTGTTTTATTTAATAATTATTACTCTTAAAGACTTTCAAGAGTAAAAATATTATAGGATATTTTCAGACGATTTATTATAGTGCTATATATGTGTAGATAATAAGAATTGTATATATTACAGAGTAATTATGAGTTAGTGGTAGTCTGTGGCAGTTTAAAAACTTTTTAATATTTTTTATTAAAAAGTGGTCATATTTCTGTTGAATGTGTAATGTTTCATATTTGAAATTTATAATTGTATTTTTAACTGCATTATTTGGATATTTGAGATTGCAAACAATATCTTAGTGCTTTGGAATTACGACACATGAATGCTATTGCGTTAGGTGTTTTATGATAGTATGGTGTCCATAATGCTCTGTTCAAGTTTATAGAATGTTGCCACTTAATATAAGCACATTCCCCATTTTAATTAGGAATAATGTTTGTTAGTAATACTGGCATGAAAAACTTTACATACCTGTCTCTGCAACAGATCTATGGTCGAATAAAGTGTAATCTATATCTAATACAAGCAGTTTCTTTCCAGGCCTGGGTTCATTTAAAATGTTTATTTTATAATCTTTAACCCTTTTGTTGATTTTGGCTAGGTATATCTGAAATTAAATAATTATATTATTTGTTATTTAAACTGTTAGGTTTTATTTGAATTAATACCGAGTAGATGTAAAACTATAATTTATTTAGAAAATATTTGTATCAAACATGTATTAAATTTAAAAGACACATTTATGTTTTTTAAAAAGGACTTCTTCAGTATACAGAGTAGCATTGTAATGTCAGTTAAACATTGCTACAGCACAAATAAAAGGTATAGTAATTTGAATACAGGAGCGTCAACTGTAAGGTTGGTTTAAATAAAATAGTCAAATAAGAAATAAAAATCTGATAAAATACAGTATAATTGCTCTCTACAATTGTATATCATAGTTTGTATTTTGATCATCATATGATTTTCAATAGTCAAAATCTTGCACAAACTTCTATAAGGCTGTAAACATCCTTCTACCAAAAATCACATTTTTATGAAAGTCCTTGTACAGGTGACATCCCTTTGTCATATTAACTTGATGGCATTTTATATTTATTTATATAACTGCTGTGCCAGTAGGAACAAACAATATGACTGTGTAACTCATTAAATTCAAATCATTGAATATATTTTGTCAAATTAGTTCAGTTTTAAAAATAAATTTGTTCATAAATCTGATTATGATAATATTTTAATTTTAACCGACAATTACTTCAGTAATTATTTTATCTTTCTTGTCTATGGAAATAATAAAACTAACATTTTTATTTATTTATTTATATAACATAAAGTTACTACACTCAGACAATATTAGTAATATTATTTGAGGGTAGTAAAAATACTATTTGACATTATTATTAAGCATACCTCCTGATTTTCAACATCAACTTCCTCTTCTTCAATATCCAAATCATTTACAACTTCATCACCTACATCCGGCTTTGTTCTAGCCCCTTCAATTGCTTCTTCCAAGGACCCCATCATCATAATTTTCAAATTTGGCTTCAAGTTCAACTCTGATAGTGTGCAGTTATCTGTCGCAACTTTGCCTATTGAAAAGGACATAAAAATATTAGACAACTATTTAGACTACATTGAATTTCACTGAGATAGACTTTGTACTCAATTTACTATCAAGCAGTTTGCCTTTTATCGGTTTTAATGGTGAAATTACAGGGCATGCAGGCAGGCAGACATTAATAATTCGGAATGAAAATTTATAAAGGTAATATTCATGATCCAGCTCAAATAAATAGCTGACGGTTACAGCTTGCCGCCAATTGAGCATATTTAAAAAAATAATCACCACCATATTTTAAAAATAATAATACTCACATAAAACTGCATTTTGTATTTATGTCTACAAAATGTAAGATTTCTAGTAAAATATTTAGGACACAGAATGTGATTGGCGCTAGTAAATGCCTCGGAAGTGTTACATAAACAAGTAGCATTGAAAAAACTTTCATTAATTAAAATTTTCATTACGACTTAGTTTCTAGGTTAGCATTATTTCTGACAACTTTTTAGGATGTTCTAACCTTGCTTAGAGTATGAAGACATCATGTTTTATGATTACAAAAGAGTAATATTTACCTTGAAATTTAACGTTTAGCAATTTTTGTCTTTCTGGACGTACTCCGGTGGCATTTTCGATGGCGATTTTGAGCATAGCCACCGAATCGGAAGGCGAAAACTCCGGTATTTCATATTCCTTTCCATTCCATTTGACACTCAACTTTAAAGAGTTGTCGTTTATATCACACATTTTTCATGTAAAATAATTATAGTTGATAAAAATTATCGTCATAAAGTACGATTAGCACGTAAACAAAACAATTTGGAAAGTGAAGCAAACTAAACTCAATGACAAACTCTAATCGACTGACTGATACTGATTACAAGAAGGATGATTGACTCGTTGAATGATAGAATGTTACATTGACGTGAACCTCAATCAATAGCGAGATGTAACTTAGTGATTATTTGCTCAGTGACTGGGTGACATGATTATAATTTCGTGAAGCCAATGCATTTATAATCACATGGTTATATATACAAACTCTGTAGGTAGAGGCAAATTCATTTGTACTAGTTTAGTAGCAGACGGAAGAAATCATTAACGTAATAACTGGCGTACTGGCGTCTTTCGAATAGAGTTGGTAGTTGACTTAATTTAATAATATAGGTATTATCGAGATTTTAGTTGGAGTCACACATTTAACATGTGTCAGTCTATCTTAATTCGAGCATAGAAACATTTTCATAAAACTAATCCACTTTTTTTATTTCATTCAAATGTTTAAATTTTGTATTATTTATAGAGAAATGGCACTTTTTTATAACTACATATAATCCTTTTTGTCAATTTTTCATCTTTTAATTTGAACGAATAATCACTAGTGTACAATAAACGTAGTGGTTGTTTGCTCAGTGGTTATTCATTTTCTAAGTGAGTACAAAATAGAAGAGTATATAATAAAAAAATCTATTACTAGAATATGCATGTATTTTTGAATAAACCTTAGGTACTTTCAATTTAATCTACCGTTCATTCGGAACGAAGATTCATCACAAAAAGAATGCCCAAAATATTTTTGTGTGGTACTTTTAAATAATTTAATTGTAACTTAACATTTGTAATTTGAAATGTGGGAATACAAACTACCAACTAGCAATAATTCATTATGAAAATAATAAAGAGACAACCAAGTGACTGAGTAACTAAATAAGAGTAAATAAGTAATAGTGATTAGAGCAGGTCAGTCACTACAAGCAGCACTTGCTCACGAGTATGACGACTATTATTACGACGTATCACTGCGATCGTGCATATTTTAAGAAGCCCATTTGATCTGGCCGAAATCATTTCGTACAATAATAAAATATTTACGCATATACTTCATTCACTTTATTTTATATGTAATTATCATAAAATTTAGACAGTATTTATTTCTGGCTCGTACGTAGTGTCTAAAGATTTGGTTCGAATTATTTCTTTATAAACATATGCTGATTTTCTTGGTGTTCGGTTGCGATCTTCTCTCGAGAAGTCCACTTCGTACAAACCGAATTTCTCACTGGAAGTAAACAGAAAGAAAATAAACAGAAGCTGTAAGTAAAAGTAGTGACGAACTGTGTCTGTAGGGTGACGATATATTGATGATCATGATTAAACCCGTGCGCAAATATCTTCAACATAATTTTGTAAAGTTTCAAAATTTAGATTGGGGGTAGGCGCTGTATGGATTCGAATTCTTGCCCTTGGTGATAATATCGATAAGTATCATCTTGCATTCCCATAATACCAATCGTTGAGAGGCGACTGCACTAGAAATTGCAATTAATACCATACCGCCACCTTGTGTATTTTCACCTCTACCCAAAAGTTGTCTGAAAGAGATCACATGAACTGGTTTACAACTAACAACCTTAAGTTAAACGCTAACAAAACAAAACGTGTTGATTTTTCTTTTTCCTAAAGTTTAAAATTAAACGATGTACCTAGATAGAGTGATTCAAGAGGTAGGTTTATATGTGTAATACAAGCGTGTTATAGTACAGCGCAAGCCATTTTAGTGCATCCGTGCGAAATCAGGACGAGTCGCTATAGTCATCCATAAAAAAGGAAACTTACGTGTAACCATTCTTCCATTCAAAATTATCTATTAGAGACCAAGCGGTATATTTTCTGACGTCACACCCCTCTTCAATAGCGTCATGGAGAACACTCAAGTAATTCCTATAGTATTGGATTCTATCGTCGTCAAATAGACCTCCAGCCGTCGACCATCCATTCTCAGTGATGTACACAACAGGATTGTTGTAATTCTTTTTAATTTCTTTTAGTAATTTATAGAAACCCCAAGGTACTTCCTGGAAGTATTAGTTAATATGCAATTTGAGTATAGAAGAGACGATACTCTTCAGAATCGACAAGTTAAGGTTTCTTAAGGGTCGGCAACGCGCACGTGACATCCCTGTTGTTTCAGGCGTGTAAAGGCTACGGTAACCATTTACTATCAGATGGGCCGAATGCCTGTTTGCCATCATAGTAGTATAAAATAAAAGTTACTGTGAGAACAACAAATTGGAGTGACAAGAATGATGAAAATTGTTAAAAATAGAGTTGTGTTTACGACTTTGCTAGTATACTAGAAATTAGTCTAGTATAATAGCGAAGTCTTATCTCTGTATGAAAAATATAAAAAATATTAATGCAGACTTAATTACACACGTGAATTTGTACTCGTCGCCAATTTGTACTGTATTTAAATAAATAAAATGCTAATTTGCGCTTCACATTTAATTAGGCCGTTCCCGCCATTTTACAATCAGGCTCTGTCAACTGCACAGAGTATGTTATGAACAATATTAATTATGCCAAAGACTATATCTACAATACTACTATACTACAATAATATAATATTGAGAGATAGATAGATAAATAGAAGTTATTTATTAATAGAGTCTAATTGACCCATTGCTAACAATGTAACCTAACAGGTCGACCTCAACGTGGTCCATTTACAAGTCATCGTTATGATTATAATTTGTGATAATTCGCCAAAATGGACTAACTGACCTTATTTCATGCCTAGACTATGTAATATTATCTTATCTGTGCCTATACCAACTATACTATCATTTTACATAGTCACCCGGTTGCTTATACCTTTAGCGCATGTGGAACTACCATTCCTTATTCATCCATTTAAATATATCATAAAAACCAATATTTTTGATATGATAGATCAGTTTTAAACTTTATTTTAAACTTTAATAAATAAATAACCCTGGACAATTCATACAGTGTCATCTAGTCCTAAACTATGGAGAGCTTGAACTATGGGTATTAAATAACTTATAGAAATACATACATGTATACCCTGGACAATTCACACAGCGCTATCTAGACCCAAGTTAAGCTAGCTAAAGCTTGTATTATGGGCACTAGAAAACTGATACAAATACATAGTTTTTTTTAGTAAATATATACATATTATATAGAGAAAACATCCAGACCGATACAAACAACCATACTCATGAATACAAATGTTTGTGCCGTGCGAGGAATCGATCCCGCGACCATCGGAATAAAAGCGGTATCTTTTTACCACTGGATTACCGAGGCCGTCAATATACATATAAATAATAGATACTCCTAATACAAATGTTTGTATAGTATTTATAGGGAACTGTACCTTCATCGGAAGAAGGGCGGTATGCCAACCGGTAGACGACCGAGATTGTCGAAATAACAATGCGTAAAAGTACCTGTAGCCAAGTAGATTTTGCTTGAGGCCACGTCGGATTACCGACTACAACAGCCGCCATATCGTCCATATACGAAGGCACAGCATACAAGCCGTCCAGAGATGCGTCTCTATACGCTAACTTAGTCGTGTATGTATTGACACCAAAGAAGTCAGCAGACCCTCGGATAAGGGCTACTTCGGAAGCTGACAGTTCTGGTAATCTAGATCTTGAGAATCCTTGTTCAGCACTTTTAAGTGCGATATTTTTCTTTAATTCAAAAGGAAAATGGCCAGCCTTGGAAAATATTGGGTGAGCGTATTGGCCCCACTGGAAAGACATAAAATAATGATTATTTCTATAAAATATATTTTCAGACATGGTAGTCACGGATGTAATAATTGACATGGTCATTTTGCTGGATATATTTATTCAGTCCGGCCACTCATGCGTGTCCATTTATTAGGACTAAAATGCTTCTTATCATGTAATTTCTGCAAGACTAAAACACTTATTAAACTAAGTATTTGGTAGTTGAAAAAGGTGAGAATCTGAGGTATCTAAGTAGGTGAATATTTACAAAGTTTACCTGCTGGTAGAAGAAGAATACGTAGAGTTTACTAATGGTAGAAACTATGTCTGTGGTGAATACCCTAGTCAGTAAACCTTTGTTACACTCTATCCTGTATAACTAGGACCATACATGTGTAGTGTCTTTTTATATATGGGTCTTTATAGATATCGGTATTTCAGAACATAGATAAAAAAGTGTGTTTGTCAGTTTATTTGTATCATAAACTATTCCAGACAAACAGACTCTTTTTAGTTTGACGTGGAGATGGATCGTATCTCCAGAACCTATAAGTATAGGCTACTTTTAAAACAGACGTAATTGCAGCTATTATTATTATACTTACATCAAACTGATTAGCATCTACAGCTGCTTGATGATCATCTATTGTTTCAGAAGCTGGTTCGAACCATGTGCAACTGATTGAAATACCAACAGTACCATTCTGCAGTTTCCTATAATTTTGATTATACAAATGATAAGCTTTCGCATGTGCGAGTAACAAGTTTTTTGCACACATATACTCTGCTACGCCACTTGCGTTCAGCATTGGTGCTTTTAAAGTAGAGCCATATCCTTCATAGCATATCTGTTTAGGTTCATTTATAGTGATCCAGAGTTTGACCCTGTCTCCATAATAATCGTACAATATTTTGACGTAGTCCACAAACCAATCTACAACATGCGGATTGATCCATCCGCCTAACTTCTGCAATTCATATGGAAGGTCCCAATGATATATTGTCAAGAAAGGTTTAATATTATTCTTCAGCAATTCGTTAATTAAATTGTTGTAGTAATCGATGCCGGCCTGATTGATTTGATTGGGAAGACCTTTTGGGAGAATCCTAGGCCAAGATACTGAGAATCTGTAAAAGTCTAACCCAAGTTCTTTAGCTATTTCAACGTCTCGTTTGTAGAGGTGATATGAATCTGCAGCTATGTCGCCTGTGCTTTTGTCTTTTATTTGTGATGGATCCATGTGGGTGGCAATGTCCCATATTGATAGTCCTTTCCCTGGAAAATAGGAGTGCCATTCGTTTTCTAGTAATGTATTCAAGAGTGTTATATCTAATCGTGTACAGTGTATATGTATTTATGACGGCCTCAATAGTCAGGCGGTTTAGCAATCCGCCTTACTTCGATTCGCCTTACTAATGGTTTCCCTCCGATCGATCCTCCGTCCAATTCAAACGGGGATCGATATTACGACGGCCTGAGCGGAGGTTCGAACCTAGTGATGCCCTCAGACTGAAGTCGTATCCGTCAGGCGGGAGTTGGCCTTCAGCCGCTCCATAAGTCCATCTGCAGGTTTGTAGTGCCATCTGCATTCGCCCCCTGTCATCCAGTAAAGCTGTAAAGGCCAGCTGCGGCCAACAGCATTAGAGTAGTCCGAAAATAACGAATGGTCGAAGATTCAATTCCTTGCACGGTCCATAATTTGTACTCATGACTATGATTGTATCGGTTTAGATGTTTTCTATATATAATATGTATTTACAAAATATATATATTCATGTATATGTATCGGTTGTCTACTACCCCTAACTCAGGCTCTAGCTAGGTTAATTGGGACTGGCGCGTGTGATTTTTTCAGAGATATTATTATGTATGTTTACAATAATAATCTATTAAACTTACCATCTTCATACCATCCACCTTCTATTTGATAAGCTGAAGTGGATGCTCCAAATTCGAAGCTGTCAGGGAATTTGCGGATTTTGCTGGACAATGATACTCCATTATTGTGAAAAATAGCACTAAAAATTAATAAAATAAATTAAGTAAGCTAAGTCTATTTTATTATTAAGTTGGTAGTTTGTATTCACACATTTGAAATTAAAAATGTAAAGTTACAATTAAATTATTTAAAAGACCAACATGCAAGTTTCTTCGTACTTCTTGTAACAACAGCGTTCCGAATAAGCGGTTATTCAAAAAATAAGTGATTGTGTTTAACAGTGCTTCAATGTATGTTTGTTTGAATAAAAAAAAAAAAATATAACATGTATGTTATTTTGTTAGGTAAATAAAATAAATAAATAAATACTTACCACAGTATAAAAAAAGGTCGTATCATATCAACGGTATCTCTAGCACTGAAGATACGATCTATAACTGTGTATTAATTGAAGTGGCTTATTCTGTACATGATAGATTAGATTTTTATACGCTACTTATGTATATGCTCTCTTTATATTTTACACATAGTCAAAACAAATCAAAAGGACATTTTAGCCGCTTATGAATGTAATTTTTTGGTATTATAATTTTTTTCCTACTATCCAGTTCAGTATACAGATTAAATTGAGAAGAACTGGCAAGAAACTCAACTGAATTTTTTAAAGTAGTGTCTTCGTAGTTATAAATGTATCGATTCATATTAATATTAGATATAAATGCAAGAGTATATATCTGTATGTTTGTTACATTTCACAAATAAAATGATATCTTGTACGTGTATATTTTATTCTAAAATTTAAATAAACTTAAAACGAAATGTTATGTACGAATGAGAATAAGTTATTTAGTGAAAACTGCGTTTTAGAATGACTCTACAATGTAATTGATATGTTATTGTTCAATGGAATTGACTTCCACATAAATTTGAGTATAGTCAAATTCATAAATGTTTGACGTGACAATTTTTTATTAGTTAATAACCCTATAATGGTGTCAAATCCAATTACTAAGAATAATAATAACCCTGATAAATTTACACAGGGCCATCTAGTCCCAACCAAAGCGGCACTTTTGATAAGGGCTGGTTACATAAACTGGCTATATAATTAATAATATATTAATTAGATATATAGATCCAATTGGGCATACTACTACTACATATACTGATCTGGACGGTAGGGAAAAAACGATAATATAAAAAATTTTACGTTCATAAGCGGCTAAAATATCCTACATGAATAAATGATGTTTAAATTTGAATTTGAATGGATACAAATGTTTCATTTGTGCGAGGAATCGAACCCACGATCTTTTTATGTTAAATCGCTAGACCACCGAGGCCAAATGAAAATGGAATAAATTTAGGTAATTGTAACATTTTAGCATTTGATGATACCTGTATAGCATATCGAATGTACTATTATTAATAATAACAGACGCTAGTGTTATGAGTTGTGTTCATAACAAGTAAGTGTTTTTTTAATTAAATTAAATAGAGATTGTATGTGGTGGATTGAGAGAGTCTTTGTAGTCTGGATCCTTTACAACTACAATTTAGTATTTGTATTGATGTATTTTGATTGTAAAATTACGTGCAATAAACATGTTTAAACAAGAATTTTAATTTAAAATTAATAATTTCAATTATCTGTTCTCACATATTGATAAATTTATGAGGTATCCATGAACTCAGCGTCTGGTCCAGGTGGAGGCAAGTCAGTATTTTGTAGGTGCTTTATTTTTTATATATAGGTACTACATGATGATACTTACGCGAAATGTAAAGTATATGTAGAGGAACCACCGGTAAGAGATTTTGTTTTTAGGTAGATAGTAAAATAAATAAGCATAAATTTAAATAAATATATATTTAAACTTTGTAATAAATTTAATATTTATTGAATTCTCAAATATATTTAATTCGAAATGATCCGATCCGTGAAATAATCGCCCAGAAAATTACAAGTTTTTTATACAGCGTGTGTTTGTTTTACACGCACAACGGCGTTTTTCACATCATCAAATTCACCGGTTCGATTCTTGGCCAGGAATTATAATTTATACAAAACCTGATGATTTTTTTCTAAGTTAACGCGTAATATTGTAAATCATACAATTTCCTGATATTTTCATCCAGGTGGAATGGTAAAGTATGAAGGGTATGAATTGTTAATAATGGGGACTAGTAATCAATTAGATTCAATATTTCAATTGACAGTAAAATGTGATAAAACAATATAAGTTACCAATGAAAATACTGAAATAATAAAAAAAAAAATCTATTATCAATAACCAAAACAAACTTAAAGCAGGTAAGTATGAACACACTTGACAGTATGCAAAAATAGTATATACTCATATATCGGACACCTAGTAAAATATTGAATTAACTCAAAAATTACAAACTTTTGAAATTCCGCTTCAAATCTAAAGATTTAAATTAGGATTTAGGTAGGAGGTATAATATTATAATTTAAAAGAAATGTTTTTTTTTATTCAATCCCTTATTGTAGGAGATGTGTGCAATTATGACTTCAGACAGTCGTATTCACACTTATTTCGTTGTTTTTTTTTAATAGTTTTTTTTATATTTTATTTTAATTAACTATTTTCTTGATGGATAGCATTCTTCCAGTCGCTTACTTCTGTGACCTAAAAAGAGTGAAATATTAATATTAAATAATTCTAATACTTCTAATTTGTCTTTTATTGCCGAAATCGTTCTAGTAACATAATTATATACATATACAGAAGAAATATATATATACATTATAGACCTGACATTCAATTGTTAAGCCACCTACTGAGTTCAATTGTTTCAAAATTTTATCAAAGTCAGTCCAGCAAGGATTACATATGTAAATATTTGTTATGTTTTCAATTAATTTAGAAATTATAAAATAGCAAAACAATCAAATAAGAAAAATAACTTACTTTTGCGGGCGCGATGAATATCATTTGGCGAGTGATTTCTCTCAAGATTCTGGAATAAGAATTAATAAAATTTTAATTCTTCATTTGAATTTAATAATTTAAATTAATGTTTAATTCTAAATTTCTATACCTATTGGGTTTATAAATTTATCATGGAGTTCTTTTTTACCTCTATTTATACCACCAATTGTTACCTATGTATCATAAATAAATGAGACATATTTATAATTACTAGCTACTATATAATATTATGATATCTGTGCTACTACCTACCTTCGTTACGATCCGCTCAGTTTTTTAGTCGTCATAAGGGCACAAACAAACAAATAGACAGACAGACAGACAGAGACACTTTCAAATCAAATCAAATTAAATAAAAAATCATTTATTCATGTGGGACATTCTGGCCACTTATGAACGTAAGTTTTTTGTAACAATATTTTTTTCCCTACTGTTTCGTATTTATAAATTTGAATTCGTAAAATATAATTAGGGATATAGTCACCTGAACCGCGTCGTTAGGATACATGTACGACCCATTATATTTCGCATTAAACAATTCGTTGTAATACTTCTGAGACTGAAATTAACAATAGTTTGATATTAAAAATAGATATTAATAGTTTTTTTTTGGCGTAGGTAGATGGTTTATAGAAGAAACTAATGTTAAGTGATCACCACTAATCAGGACCGGCACTTTTTATTTTGATGAATTTTAATATTGGTCTTTACAGCTTTTATGAACAAAAAAGGGGGCAAGTGTAGAGGGTACTCCAAACCTGCGGAAGAACTTATAAAGAAAGCTGTAGCGACTATAAACCAACTCCTAACTATACAGCAATAAATAGACAAAATTTTGGGGATATTTAATAGCGAGCATCGAATCTGCAATCATTGAAAGAAGAGTACCTATACGAAACCGCTAGACCACTGAGGTAGCCAAAATATAGTATCTATTTTGATTATTTTTCATTAATTCACGTAGCAAAAGCTACATAATTACAGATAGTTATAAATAATTAGTTTATATTTTCCTAAGAAGACCAAGTAAAAGTATTTCTGCCATTACATTGTAGAGAAAGCAACTTACCTGCAGCAGATAACGTGACGCCGATAGAATGTCATCTGTACCTGAAATAATTTTATTAAACAAATTAATGCTAATGTAATAACCAATATTTGATATTATAGCAATGCAATAATGATGGTTGCTCAATCTCCATTCATTTAATTCTTATTAGAACTTACTCAAAATTATCCAGTTCTCCTTCTCTACTCTATAACATTAACATTTTTATTTTATCCTTATTTGCGAATATACCAGTTGAACAAATAATCTCAAGATCCATAATATGTTTTCTTAAATTGCATTCATATTGCATTAATATTATATTGCTTCAGCATTAAGGCAATTTAATTCTATTTATACAAGTGTTTTTAGAAATTATATTTATTAACCTATATAGGTTCTTACCAAATTATATCTATTCCACAGTTATAAATTATTATCGTAGAAATTCGTGTCTTTAATATCATTAATTAAATTCTTTAATAAAAAAAATCTTTAATAAATGCAAGTATTATTTTTTGTGTAAATAGGTCTTTAGATACATCGGTTGCGCTATGATTTGTTATGTACCATAAGGGATGATGTACTGCCTCAGCACCTAGATAAATACATATTAAAATCCAGGAAAGAATTTCGTATTTTTTTTTTAATAATTTAACGATTAAAAATACTAAATGATATCTACGTAGATACTTTTAAAATTCATATGTATTGTAACGTAACAATTACCTCTGGGAATAATTTGAGCTTTACTTGTAAACGTTACAAATTTGCCATCAGTAGCAGCTGCTCTGCTCTTTCTCTTGTTACGAGCGTTCTTATTTAATAATTCAAAGTCTCCCGCTTTCTTCTCAAAGTAAACTTCTCCAATCTTCTTCCTTTCAACAATAGGACTCCACCAATCGTCAATTATAGTACTAACATCACATAACCTGGCTCTGTCTGTGGTAGTACATTGATTGGCTTTAGTGACCACTGCGTATTTAGGTTTTTTAAATTTCTTATCATGTATTTTATCTATACATACGTAGCTGCATACAGTGTTGTCTGTTATAGATGCATTGATATTTATAGAGCTACTTATTAAAGAATCTGATTTGATAGAAATCCCTGATGTGTATTCATAAATTTCGCTCCATACGTTTTCTATAAAAATGCAATAATATTTAATAGTCAATAGTTTTTAATTTGTTATTATATATATAGTATCTTATTTACCAAAATATGAGCACGTTCATATTTAAAAAAATTTTATATCCTTTTTATGTTTTAGATAATATGATGCCAAATTCGGACAACCAAAAATATTTGTGTTACAAAATATGTCAACAAATACTGGCTAACAAACTCCGGGATACATAGGACGTCGTTATGTGTTTAAATCTGATAGGTTAAATAATTTATTCATCATCATCATTGGAAGACGTCCACTGCTGGACATAGATCAGGTCCGATGATGACGCCTCCCCCAAAGATCTTCACGACGATTGGTCCTGCGCTGCTCGCATCCAATGCCTTTCAGCGATCTTGACCAGATCGTCGGTCCACCTTGCTGGAGGCCTTCCCAATTTATTCATAATTACAAGTTAATTAAATTATATACTAGCCGACTCGGCCACATGTTGTTGGCTACGGTTCCTTAATAAAATAATATTGCGACTATAAATTGAGATGTAAGCTATTATATCTTTGAAGTTGGATCAAATAGCACACAATGTGCAAATCATATTTGCAATCGGTTCAGTAGTTTAGGAGTCTATCGCGAACAAACAACGTGACACGTAATTTTTATATATAAAGATTGAGCAAAAACCGCAGAAAACTAAGAAAAGGAGATCGAATTTCATATACAGAAATTCGATACACGAAAATAGGGCACGAATATAGGGGGAAAAATATATAAAAACAAAAAAATACCATTAGCAGCTAATTTCCTCAACAAGCACATCTGGCTGGAACCTGTTAAAAGTGAATTTAATATTTATAAGGCTTGAAATCGACGGAGCTCTCTTCACTCCCAAATTATTCTATTCCTATTTAATGAGGCACCCAATACAAATTTCATGGTCCGTATTTTAATATCCAAGTAGTTAGTGACGATTACGGTTGTGTAGTAGTATAAAAAATATATAAGACATTTTACACAGCGCCATCAACTTTAAAGCTAAGCAAAGCTTGTGTTATGGGTACTATACGACTGTTAAACATAGATACATTTGTTTTGTAAATACATAGAAAACACCTAGTCCAATACGACCAATCATTCTTTGTAAATGTATTACTATGACAGTAATAAGTAAACTAAACCGTCTTCGAGTATGCCTGGACTCTCTAAGGTTGGCTGGTAGAGAATGCTAATAGCATTAAGCCCGCCTATTGTGGAAAATTCAATAATACTTAATAATGAAATAAATAAAAAAAAAATCATCAACAGAATAGTAACACTTATTCAATAAAAATGTTCACATCAAACTACTCGATTACCAAGCATAGATTTATAAATAATGTCTAAAATAATATAGTAAGAGCTTCCTGCTGCGTACACTTATGCACTTAGATTGTTCAATGAACAACCTGACGAGGTTTTCTTTAAAGATTACAGCATGGGATGCTTCAAGGAGGGTATATTTCCTAAGAGTCGGCAACGACAATTGGCACTTACACCCCTGGTGTTTTAGGTGTCCATAGGCTACGGTAACCGTTTACCGTCACATGGGCTATATGCATAATAGTCATGATCGTAATATAAAAAAAAATATATTTTACTCTCAAAACTGGTCCCACTAATTTCTTCTTTCCTCTCATCGGGCCTGCTGTCTTCATAATTGGAGGTACGAAATTTTGAAGGTTGAGCTTCTATATCTTCTGCCATCTCTTTTTTCGTTGCCTTTTCTTTTTGCTCTAGCTGGACTTTGGCAATGATTTTTTTATCTTTTTTGACATTATCTGATGTTGTGGTATATTGTGTACCACAGTGACATATAACTGGTGCGGCTTCCACTTCAGCATCTAATTATTATACAAATAATGTTACGAAGATTACTATTGAATATTGACAATATTAAGAAGTTTTTTTTAGACTACTCTAGTGCCGTTGGCCGCAGTTAGGGTTTACAGGTTCATCTAAGGATCTCGGTGCAGATGGCTCCAATGAAAGAACTTATTTAGTCGGCTGAAGATTCCCCACACGGTACAAATATTTGAAGTCATCAGTTTGATTGTATTGTACTGGTCTGTTTCCTATGTATATTATGATCAATATTAATAAATATCAAATATAAGTAATAGTAGGTAATATAACGGTCTCGGTGGTCTTGCTTTTTTTATATATAGATGTCTGAGTTTATGTTATTATTATTATACCGATGGTCTCGAGATAAACTTTAGAAAAATATTTCTTCTTTTTTTGGCAGAGACTACTGTTATCCTACGGAGATGTCTGTTATACTAAAAACTTTTCATTCAAAAATAATATATTACGATACGATCTTAAACCCTTCGAGAAGAGCTGATTCCTTCTTAAAAGGCCGGCAACGCATTTGCAATTCCTCTGGCGTTGTTGGTGCTCATGGACGGCGCTAATCAATTACCATCAGGAGCCGCAAACTCGTTTGTCCCCTATACTATATGAGAAATACATATTTTAGTACCAGTTATATTGGTCTTCTGTGTTAGTTTCCTTTGGGGTTTCTCTTCTGGCTGCTGATGTTTGGTTCCAGCTTCAGATAGGCACTCGCTGGTGATCATAATGCACAAAGTGTAAGGAAAAGGTATAAAAACTCGAAATTCAATAATAGTGCATACATATTCATGAAACTAAAACAATTATATACTAACCTCGTATAGTGCGATATATATATATATATTATACGACTAAATTGTTAACTACTATTTCAGCTATATCCTTTTATTTAATCTAACTAATATTATAAACGAGAAAGTGTATGACTATGGATGGATGGATGGATGGATGGATATTTGTTTCTTTTTAACTATTGAACGGATTTTCATAAAACTTAAATATATAAATAAATAAAAATAATACGGCTTATACATCAGAATAATATATAGGCTATAAATTTCACGCGGGTTTAACTACGGGCACAGTTAGTTCATTATTTCAATAATGTGTTTTCATTCGGGGTACCTAACCTATAAAAGTTTTCTGCATGGATATCTCAGTCTCACCTATTACAGGGTCCAACAGCTCGCATTATAATCTATGTTTCGTTTATAGATTGTGAATACGAAGTGAAATGACATGAGAAAGTGGCATTTTAATGTAGAGTGGCAACGCAATTGTATCACCGGTGTCACATAATGACGTGATGTCCGTAGTGTTGTTCGTGTATGGAGCAGTTATCATCGCTTACCTGTGGTGGGCTGTTAGTTTGTTTGTCATTCCAATTACTTAAATAAGCAGAAAACTGTCATTATGAAAAGTTAGTAATTTTACTAATTTAGGTAATTATAAATAAATAATACCATGTCATTATATCACATACATAATTTTATAAGAAAAATCTAGTTAACAGTGCTGTGGTCTACGGAAATGTAATAATCAATGAAAAAAACTGTTAATATTCTGATTAAATTTCGGATGTTAAAATACAATAATGCATTAACTCGAAATTTTATTTATACAAGAACTGCGATAATTTTTAATTTATTTATACTGTACAAATGTATATTATCTATTTCCATGTTAAAAGTGATGTATATTTTACACTAAACATTATTATCTATATGCATACCTATGTATCTTATTAATCTTTACGCACCAGAATTGAACTGCTACTGGAGATGGCACTACAGTTTTATTTTCTGATTTTACATCTCTACTATTCGATGTATGTCTACCATCTATAATAAAAAAAATATAAATTGAATTCATCAGGTTAAAGACCTTTTTTAAATTGATTAATATTAAAAATATACTTTATTTAAATGACATACCGAAAATAATTTTATTAAATATTTTCTTGCATAAATAACAGGCACTTTCATTGTCCCCTTTGCAGAAAAGTATTGAACATACTTTTTTCAGATTCTTTAACAATTTTGTTCTGTAATTCAATACATTATATATATTACATAATGTATTATTTACTATTGTAGTACTTGTGTTGACAATATATCATTGTTATGTAACAATTTTCGATTCTACGACTGATTTACATTTATTTAGCTATTTAATTTGTTGTTTGTATATTTATCTAATATTTTGACTATAAATAGATAGTGCTATTTGTTTGTTAAAATGTGTAAATACACATTTTTCGCATGATATCTTAATCATCCGGAATGGTAACAGTACTGGATATCACTGAATATCACAATATAGTTTTGGATAACTTAATTTATCATTTCAATTATATGACTATACAAATTAAATGTAAGTATAACAAATATTGAATTTGAAAATAATTTCGTCATATTAATTATTGGAAGAATCATAACCTGCTGTTTGGAGTTTCCTTGGATTGAGCTGAAATTTCCATATTGATATCATTACTTTTTAAATTGTCACTGTTGTTTCTTTTGTCACTAGTTTCTTGAAGGCATAAAGCGTTCTTCGATAAATCTATAATTATACAAATCTCTTTTAAAATTTCCTATAATAGTTAGTGTAAGGCTATACTTAGAGGTGCGAAAGAAACTTTGTTTGGAGGTAAAAAACATGAAAAGTCAAGTTTTTTCCAAGTTCAAGATTTCGATTTATCTTTCATTAGCCCTGACTTTACTATTTGATACGGATGACGATATATCTATAATCGGAGAACCATAGGTTGTATTTAAAAGCAAAAAACCACTACTAAAAGAACAAGGAGACGTTTTCTTACTCTTAATATTTGCGTTTTGGATCAAATTATCCTCTTTCCTCATTATTGGAATCGTCTGTAATTAGAAAGAAGTACATTTCAATTAATTTTTGAGATCAATGTCACAATTAAAAGCCACTTCGACATTAAACAGGGCCGGGGAAGTATTTGTGTATGTACGGTGTATAACGAAGCGAAAAGCAATATTATCTAAAATAAATATCTATTTAACATATTATGAATGATAACTAATGAAAAGCCAAGTATAATTTAGTTATGATTAGAATACATACTTGGCCTGTATTGCTTGACGATGGAAAATTTCTATTAGGCTCTTGATTTAATCTGTAAAAAAGATTAAATAATTGCTAAAAATTGGTGAAAATTATATAATTGCTAGGCAAGGCGTGAGTTAGTCCTCGAAAGAAGAAAAAGAATTTATCACCAGTACGTTTTCTACAATATGTATTAGCAAGAAAAAGACGCCAGTCTTTGGTGTCTCCGTTTATTATATGTCGTAAACATATCTGGTTACCTACTAATATATTTATTGTCCTTTATCTATTGGGGCTAGTTTTCTAGTTGGACTACTGTTGTATTGGTGTATATTGTATAGGACTAGTATTGCATACTTACTCGTTTTTCAATATATCGAAATCATCATTTCCTATTGATTTATAGAATGACATTCGTCTCGTTATATCTGCAGCTGCAAGCAAATATTAATACTTATTCTATGGAAGTACAGATTTACATATACGAGTACTAAACTGAACGGTAGGATCTAAAATGGTGACACATCATCAAAATTGTGGCAATAAAATATGTTGACTTTGATTTTCAGGATGAAGATTAGCCAAAGCTTTGATGTAGTAAGAAATTATACATATAGAAAGTAGGTGAAATAAAAACATTACACCAAAATAAGACGAACTAAAGAAAGAAATTTATTGACTAAATTCTCGTTAGTAAGTAGTAGTAGTAACTTGGGGCTTGAAGATAAGTTTAATTTAACATACATGTCTTCTCATTTCTTGAGTTAACAACTAATGAATTCGGTATATGTTCTTGACACACTTCACATTTCTCTAATTTGGGCAAATTTCCAAAGTTTTGGTTAAAGTTTTCCTGCAAATGGTTGAGACAGATATATTTGTAGAAAGCAGTACAGGTACTTGCTTTGTAGCATTCTAAAATTAATTAACAACTACTACTTACATACACTGTATTGTTGTAATCAAAATTTGTATTCTTAACAGTTTCAGTAACATAATTTTCTTTTAAATTTTCTAATCGTAATCCTTCATTCAATACTTTCAATCGCTTATTTCGAATTTTCTTAGATCTTTTCCTTTCTAGTCTTTTAATCCAATCTTGTTCTTCAAGGAATGCAGATATTCTATATTTCCTTGTTTCTTCATCATCATTTCTTTCGTAACTTCTGTATTTGGTCGTAGCTTTTGAGTTACTTTTACTTTTTTTCCGACGTTTGTAATTTTTTGTAACATTGTCGCGTTTAAGATTGATTTTTGTTGATGCATTTATTAAATCACTGCATGAAGTAACATTTTCCTTGATACCGTGCCAGTAACCGGAACATAGGTTTAGAAATTTACGTACATAGTAACAAGTATGTTTATTTTCTATATTGCTGTTAAATATTTCTCGCTTATCATATTCTTGGTCATCTAGTTGCTTATTTTCTTCACTTGTGATATTGAAAGCGCTTCTTATGACAGCACGTTTATTGCTAGTAGAAGAATATTCATTATATGACTTATAAAATTTATTACACCGTGTTTTGGTCACATTATCATTGTGAGAACTAGGCTCGGAGCCAAAGTGTGAGAGATTAATATCTTCAAACATTTTTTTATTATGTTTTGGCGTTAATCGTTTTCTTTTCTTTATTGTAATGTTATATTTATCTTTTACTTTTCTTTGAGATACGTTAAAAGTATGAAAAGTTCGTGTTATACTAATATTATTTTTATTTATATCGATACTATAATAACTTAGTTGTCCTAAACGCATAGGTAATATTTTAGAAAAACTGCCTGAGGTTAGAAATCGTCGCTGCGCTAAAATAGTTTGCGACATACCTCTTTGATTATAAGAAGTTTTGTCCAATTTAAAGTTTAGTGATAGAATTGTATAATGTGGTAATTGCAATTGCTTTGTAATTGATAATGTCTTATCTCTTTTGTTTGGACATATAAAATAATTTTCATTATTGAATCCTGTTGTTTTATTTATTTTAGCTTTATAATTATTCCCTTTAATATATTTTTTATGGTGCATTATTATAACCTTTTTACGTATGTGATAACTTACAATATATGTTTGTTTATTAAAAACTGCACCGCTATCGTATAGAAGTGGTGTATTTTCGGAAAACTCTGTGCTATCTTCGTTCTGTATTGAACTAAATATCTGTCTTTTTTCTTGTAACATATTGCTTTTCTTACCCTCTATAATAAGTAGCAACTCATCCTAAAAACATATTAATTTATGTTAAATTTATTATCGGAAATTATAAATAGTCATCGCTATTAATTTGTTTTAGATGTTGAATGGCACACAAGTTGTCGGTCAACTTGATGGAAAGTATAAACTGGCGCCTGTAGTTATGAAGGACCAAGAATACCAAGGACATTACGAAATGAATTTAAGATATTACTATATAACTATTATATACCACGAAATGCCATTTTTGAGGACTAAGGTTTCTGTCTAAAATGACGAACTTACATTGATATCATCAGTGGTCTTGTCTAATAATTGTGTTGTACTGCCTGCTTTACTGTCAGATTCTTCATCACTTTCATCGGATGAACCCCTTGAACAAAAAGGTTGTATCTAAGATGAGTTCGTTTCCCAAATTTTGTTGGGTACTTTCAAATCGATTTTTAGAGAAATGATGATCACACTTCCAAATCTTTTGTATTATTATTATTTGTTTCTTCGTGTCACATTTTATGTGTTCTAAAGTTTTATCGTAATTGCATTATCTCATCAAAAATCTTTGTCAAGTTAGTTGTATTAGTAGTATAGTAGATTGCTTGGTGCAATTATAGTCAAATTAATTTTCACTAGTTGGAGCGCATATCATAGTAAAAATGCATTTGAAACCAAACTCATCTTTAGCTGTAATTCTACTCTATACCGTGGCGCAATGGACCCTCTATTCTATTACAAAAATAAACATTGTCTTTTAACTTAACTTACTTTTCTAAACTCACGTCGCTTAAGTCTCCATAATCATTAGGGGAAAGACATACTGTGCACAGTTGACCTATATCTACAAAACAACTTGTACAGTAGATCCCAAGACAATTGATGGAATTGCACCTGAATGGTAAGAAAATATGAAGTAAGAGATATGGTTTACGCTATTAACTGCAGAACACACTAATTACATATATAATAATGAGATACTAACAAATACAAAAATAGACTTTAGTATGATTTAGGTTTAGGTTTATTAGCAAATTTTCCATATATTAAGACCTAAATATTTTGTACATGAATTTTCGTACAGAACAGACCCTAGTAAACAATAAAATAACAATAAACAATATAAAAACAGCCTAGTAAAGGAATCAATGTTAAGGTAAATATTGTGAAATAATAAACAATAAATTTAATTACTATAATGGACATTAACGTTTTCTTTGTAGAAAAGTATCTTTAAGTTAAATTAAACAGTGAATCTCACTTCCATTTTGTCTAAGATATTTCCAGCGATCTTTATTCTTATATCTCAGAAATATCGGAATAAATCTTTTAAAAAGTAAATCCCTATTACAATTTTAATATGAATTCAATTGTACTTTAAATACAGAATCATACAATACATATAAGTTATTATATAACTATTTATCGAATAGCAATCAAATATAAAAGTACCTTTGAAGGCGCGTGTTGGCATCATTTCGATGTTCCTCAGTACCACAAAGAAGACAGTGTGGTTCTTTTGGATTTATGCCCAATAAGGATCGGAGCCACCAAAAACTAATGGAAAACAATATTTTTTATGAATTTGGGATCTCAAACTGACGACCCACTAGATAGAAAGTTGTAATTGTCGTATACATGACAGAATTACAGAATTACAGACGTCACAAATAGAGCTGCCACTCCTCCTCCAATGTATACGTCACAATTATTTCAAATTAAATATAATTTGGGACATTTAATCCATATTGACGGCTTCGGTGGTAGTAAACTGCTAAATTTAGCATGCATTACTTTCGATGATCGTGAGTTCGATTTCTCGTACGGTACAAACATTTGTATTCATAAGCATGATAACACCCAGAGCAATACAAACAGTATTGCTCTTGGTGTTTTCTATGTACATTACGAATGTATTTACAAAAATAGAGTAACAGCATAGTGTTACGTGCTGTAACACCGACCACGGCAATGTACCTACCTGTCCCGCCTACACTACAGCACCAAGGAACAGGACATTGTCGACTATATACGGACCAATAGTGACCTGACATTCAGGGTGACGCAACTAGAATTGAGTCACAACGTGAGTTTCAAGGCGTTTGTGGCCCGGGTCCCCATCAACATGTTACCCATCTTCATGGAGGAGGACTACTGGCTGAAGGGGGTAGTGTATCGGCGCTACCGTGGTAGATTGCCGTCGTCAGTGTCGACGACATGATAACAGAGACGATTTATATTTATATCATTATGACATTATTTATGTATGTTAGTCCATAAGCTTAACGTCTTAATACCTATTATAATACGAATACTACTAACGGTATACGAGTCTCCAGCCATTTTATAAACGTATATTTCTCTTCCGTGCAATATTTATATTTACGATGTAATTTCCGTCGTGCGAATTTCATAAAACCACCTGAAAGTTTTTCTTTATTTTACGGTTTTTAGACGTAATAGTTATGTACCCTATAACGCTTAGACCTAGCACTTTTCATGCGCTGCGGTACTGTTATAGTTTAACGCTATTAACTTTTAGTGCACTAATTATTTTTTAATTAGAAACAACAAGCTTTATTGCTACTTTTATAAATCACATAAATTTTATATACTTTTTTTTTGTTTAATCGACATGAAAAATAAGCTAACAGCCTACCTGATTGTTAGTCACTCAGTAATCACAGAACAGCTATCTGTTCTGTGGTCATAACCGTTGGCTATATACATGAACAGCATGACGTCACAACATACGTTGTACTTAGGGCATCTTCCATGCATTCGACTATAGCAGTAAAATTCATGAGGATGTAAGAAACACAGGATCATAGATAATTGGGCAAAATCATCTATCAAACATGATTGTAAACTCAATACGAGTACAAGATCTATTATGTGTCAATCTAGGATTCGTTTTATCTCAGAATCAAATTTCTATGTTAAGAAATCTAAAAAAGGCTATCTATCAAATTTATATCTTACAACTCTTAAATCGCTATTTAAAAAAAATCTTTGAAATTCTCTCCACTGACAAAGTTGGCAGATAGAGAATGCTAACAGCATTACAAACTAGTCCTTTGTATAAAACTGAACAAATTATAAATTAAAATCCAAACACCACATTTATACTATTAATGATGTGTTTAAGACACAATTATAAGATCATTTCAATATCAATGAAATGATCTTATAATATTAATTGGAATCATATTAATAAAATACCTCTCGTTCTTAATATGTGGTTGTACAACCATTCAGCTCTCGCCTTAGCACGTTCCGGCCTATAGTGCCCCATGATCACGTGACGCAGACGAAGCCCATACGGCTCGAATAACGCAAAGAACCACAGAAGAAATATTAATATTCCTAAAAATATTTAATGACATCAAATAACTGAGGCAAAGGCACGCTTGCTTTCATCGGTTTAAAGGATGGTATATTATTATAAAATAAAGTTAAAAGATCAGGAGGTATAACATATTAATCCTCAGACAACAGTAGGCGCGTCTTATTAGACAGGTCTTTTTTTCGGACTACTCTAATGCTGTTGGCCGCATCTGGCCTTTACAGTTCGACCAGACGATAGGGGGCGAGTGCAAATGGCACTCCAAACCCATGGAAGGACTTATGGAGCGGCTGAAGGCAAATTTCCGCCTGATTGATACGACTTTAGTCTGAGGGCACCGTTAGGGGTTCTAACCTAGGCTCAGACCACCGTAATTTCGATCCTCGTTTTAATTAGACGGGGGATCGATCGGAGGATTAGATAGATCGTCAGATCATATTTCAAGTTTGCAAAAAAGTCATACATTTGTGATTATTTTGCTTACCAATTTGCGAATATCGCTGCAAGTCAGGTGGATGAGGATTTGGCAGACAATTCTCGTTTGCTTGCTGATATTCTAAAGGAGTTTTCAGGGCATTTAATAAAGATTGAAACATCTCAGCCATTTTTCCTGTTCCTGATATATTTACTCCAGAATCAGGGGCTTCCACTGTAACATATGGTATTCTAGAGTTTTTATTAGTGTGATTTGTTATATAACGATAACATTTATAGTGGCGCCCAACGTGGGACTTGTGGAACCCAAAGTTTTATTAAAGTCAAATAAATAAGAAATAGTCCACTCTTCTTTCAAATTTTGATATATCCTGTGTTCCTGTGTAAATTTACTATCCTTGAAACTAAAAAACGAAAAAACAGGCTAGACGTAAAGACGACGCATGGAAACTAAAATGGCAAAGATAATATAGAACTACTCTTATATATGATTTTACAGTCACATCGATTACTGTCAATATCATTAATTACTCTATCTGGCATTTACAATCGTAAAGATATCAACTAACTTCACAAGTAACATAAATACATGTACCTACAATATTGTATTTGAACAACTCATTAAAAGAGACGTAGATGAAGAGCTGTTGATTGTATTATTAACAATTGACCTACTTGGTAATATAGTCTGTAATTTCCCGTGATGTCGTATAGTAGCTAATACCCAGAACAAGCTGTAATCAGCGACCATGTGTATGAGTAATTTGAACGTAGTTATAGCCGTGAATACCGCAGATCTGGTCATATAGACTTTCTCTGAAGTAACAAGTCGAAATGAGGTCGTCTGAAAATCAATATAAAACAGTTTTCTATAAGTATACACCTACGTCAGTATATATTCTCAGTAATGTATTTAATAAGCAAATGTATTCTTTATTTGAAGCTAAAAAAGGTTAAAAACCTATTGCATTTATTTTACGACCTTTGTAAATCTAATGTGTTTAGCATACTGCCTGACTTTCCAGTAGTTGCAGATATGATCTTAGTAGAATATATTTGCAATCAATAATATCTGTTTGAAATAATATATATTGTTATCTTGTGGATAGTGTAAGTATCCAGTTACAAAACAGAAATTAGGTATTAGATTAAGTATTTTGTTAGATATACAAGGCTTTTCTAAGCTAATTAGAACATGTATTGACAATACAGTATTTGATTGCTCTGAACCATGATATTATTTTTCAAAGAAAAACAAATTCTTTAAAAAACAATTAGTGAGATTGGCTACAGAAGGCTTTGAATGAAATTGAATCGGACATCTACTGAATTGAAAAATTGTGAATTTTCATGGAAAGAAGGCCGAAGGTTGTTTCTGATAATTTTTTAGTTCTACTCCATAAGAGACAGAGCACTAGAAAAATAGTCAAACATTTTCTTACCGTAACATACTTTATGCGTTCTCTTCTATTTAGAGGTAAGACAGTATCTCTACCTTGCCGCAATCTTTTTAAGTCCAAATCGCGCATCTCCTTCGTTATGTATCGATTGTCAAAGCGAGACCTTGTTTCGAACATGTGTTGATAATATTTTGCTCTGAAAATCAGAAATTTCAAATTTCACACGAGTGGAATGGCGGACACAACTAGTTGTAAAAAGTTAAAAAATAAAAAAATAAATGGAACGATCTTTAGTTTGTGATCTATAAACTCAAAATTTTTTACGGATTTTAAAATTCATTTTCCTACTGTAAGTTATATTAACGCCAGAAACATTCAATTTTTTACAATAAAACTAGACCTACATATAAATATCTAGTATAAGTACACACACGTAAATTTTGGAAGTGCTCTAGTTAAAATTTATTAGAAAAGAAATCGACAAACCTGAATATTATAAGAAGTAAAAACAAGCTTGTGACGCACGAACTCCAAGAAAGCCAAGTGAGCAATGGATCAGCTCTCTTCCTGATTTCAGTTACGATACCAGCGGCCACTTGGCTGGCGGAGTGACTGGTGTTACTACTGAATGAATACGAATGGTGGGTGTGTATTTGTAGGTAGAGCATATTCCTGATACGCTTGGAGTAGTTCTTCAACCCTGGAATATTAATGTTTCATTAAAAACGCGTCGAATACAATAAAAGATACGGAGAGGCTGGGAGAAGTTCTTACGCCATACGCAAAAGCTTAGAAAATGCCTTCAACCCTGCAATTAATGTGCCATTAAAAACGACAATACAATGAAACATAAGTTCTAAGGATATTTTAAACATTGTGTCTAATTATTTTCCTATATCTCTTGTGTAACAGAAAGCGTTTGCAGTAATTCATAGTGTGTTCTTGAGTTTTAACCTCATTAGGGGCGGCTATTTTTTCTTTTTTTGTGGTTTGCAAAGTCTAAAGAAATGAGTATGATCGGTGATTTGGCCAATGCGTTAAATGAGGTAGTCCTAAATTTCTTAAAAGATTACTTAGATATTGGAACTTTTAAAAATAATGTTTGGATGTGTACCAAAACTATACTTTTATAGACTCTGAAACTTACATCTTATTAATATAATAAACGCGAAAGTTTGTGAGTATTGATGGATGTTTGTTACTCTTTCCCGCAAAAACTACTGAATGGAGAAATTTTAGGCGGGTGAAACCGTAAGCACAGCTAGTGTTTATATATTTGTCATTGATACAGGTGTTTATTCCCAATTTAGTACTATATAATTTAATAAACAAATATTTTAATAATCTTTTTAGATTACTCACACTATTCGAGAAGATATAATTTAAGACTTAACCTTTATAAATAAAACTTACTCTTTTTGATTGTAGCAATAATACTCCCATCGATATAATCAACATACACACAAATAACATTATATCGTTTGGCGTTAGAGCAAATGATATTCGCTTTGTCTGATATATCACAATCCCAGTTGGAATTTTGATCTTGTCTCTTTTTACATTGTGCGATACCTTCATTTAAGACTTTCTTACATCTTTCGAGTGGTGTGCCAAATCTTTTGTTGCAAATTTCTGTCAATGAATTCAACCAGGAGAATCCAGACTGTATGACTTCTACTGTAATTGCAAATATAGTACCTATTACCAGGTTGATTTGGTACAAATTCGTCTGTATTGGTACTTCTACCTGTTGTACTTTAGCCGATACGCAGCTTGCTTTGGAAGCTATCTTTCGATTTGAGGTATGAGATATGACAGAGAAATTACATGGTACGGAGGGATGATAAAGTATATAGCCCCTTATTATATTTTGTCATCGCTCCGAAATCTAATTACATAGATAGATATATAGACTTTATTTAAATCAACAGATACCCGTAGGTACATACAAATTTCACAAGACATACTGTCTTGTAAATTTTAAGAAAGTAGATTAAAAAAAATAAGTAGTAAATACTGATGAACGACGTTTCTTTCCTCTTTTATTATATGTGTACTATAGTGATGCAAAAACCCAATAATTCAATGCATTGTCTGGGAGACAAACCACTGGTCTTCAATTACTACATGCAAACGCGTTTGTAACAAAACCGCCCCGTTCTAAACTTTGGATACTACTATACAAAATAAATAACATATAACACATAAAAACTACAGCTGTTATTTATTTAATTCAATATAAACGGATCTTGAAATTTTCGTATCTAGATTCTTGTTAATCTTTTTTTTTTCTGTGAATCGAATACAACCTATGTAATTATTATTAAAAATATCTTTGGTAATATCCCACATTCACTTCAATTAGTATTTATTAGCTGAACAACCAAGTGACTAAGTACTTATTTCCGAAATTGATACATTAAACGTGTCTTGTGAATACTTACGGATGCTTAAGACCAATCGATTTAATTTCAGTAAAATCGCCTTGAATTGTCTTCTAACGTTGTTCAGTCTATGTATAATTATATTTATGGAGTTTCCCATTGAATTGTATGGTTTTCTCATCGAGTATCTAATTTGGTTGACGGTGGCCTTTATTTGTACCTGTAGTCAATACATAGATAGCGATAGAGATGATATAGCTACCTATCGATGAGCAAGAACCGGGCCATTCGCCTTCTGCCTGGTGCAGGTTGGGGCCTCGGGCGAGCCCCTTTGTCCTGGCATCGACTCTGGGGCTACAACCCCCGGGGACTGCATTTAATCCCTTTTATATAGCGCGAAATTTACAAATAAGAAAATAACTATAATTTGGGGTATTGGGATGACATATACAGCTTAACCTAACTTAGAAACTAGTGCTATATATGGGGAACTTTTTTTATATCATTTGCCTATCCTAGTCAGTTAAAATAAAATACATGCTGTTGAATGTAAGCATCTCGCAAGTGTTACATGCATCATGATTGAGTAGACAGTGGATAATCTGACTTCATCTTCAACTTGTCATTCTCCTATAGTGTCCCGCCAACACCGCTACCGCAGGCATGTCACCATTCCATTATGAACAAAAAAAAACCTTTCTACCCCATCTATAATAACACCACCGTTTTAAACTGGCGTTATTTATAAATATTTGGTATTTTTAGACTCCTTAGTGGCAAGAAAAGGTCAATGAAATAGGCACACCTTATTTGAATTATAAATAAATTATAACTTAATATCCCTCACTTAGATATGCTATCAACTTCGTTAGACTATAATTTATGTACTTTAAACAACTTTGAATTGTATAGGTTGGTATTTGAGACTTATATAGATTAAACGTCTTATTAATAAAGTAAGTGTATTATACTTTTGGTTTCAAAGTGTAACCGCTAGCATGGTACTTCATGGATTACGGTCAACTTCTAAAAGGTAATTGATCAAGAAGAGTGGTTTTAACCTTTCGGTGTGGTAGCATTTGAAAAAGTTCTGCTTTAAGACTGGTGGGTTATGTACACTAAATATCGAGTAATAAAGATTTATTCTTTATGTATGTTCTTTAAAAAGAATTTATATTTAAAAAAAAGTACTTTATACTTCCGAAAATATTCTTTCTTCTCCTAATTCAAACGCTTTTAGATATGCAGCATTAATGGTCCGCAGACTGTCGGTTATGGACCACTGATTAATTATACTATCTACATTATATAGATAGATCTAATTACGGTCAAAATAATAACCAGGACAATTATACGCGCCATCTAATTCCAAGCTGAACATCTCGTGTCATATAGCAAGCTTGTGTTATGGATATTAGACTACGTTTTGTAATACTTACATAATATATGTAGACATACATTTTTCACACGTCAGGAAAATCTCCATAGAACTCCACCGCTCCACTCTCCTCAAACATCGCAGAGGCGAGAAATCGACCACGCGACTATAGAAGTAGAGCTAAAAAACGGCAACACCTCCTTCTAGGACCTAGGACCAGGACTGGGTCGACATGATGATACTACATGTATGTGCTAATTTAATTTTAGCAATTGTCATTTACCTGTTGACACGCCATAGACTCCGTTAATATTTCTGAATTCTTCAAAGTATTCTTGGCGGGACCAGTCAGAATCAGAACTAAGGCATAACAAGTCAGGGTGTACCTTCCCACGCGAGAGAATAATTGGGGGATCAGAAGAAATACTAAACATCTGTAATAAATATTCATATTAAAATATCCTAAAGTAAAAAGTATGACTAGTACCTACTTCTCTATTTAAATTATTACCTATCACTTTATATAAAAATATATAATACCTCTTAGTAAAACAGTGCTAGTTTATAAAATAAACGTACATATACAACATTTTTATGGTATCCGCGCTTCTGACCACCAGCATATGATACAGTTTTTTTTTTCAAAAGGAAAGAATCTAATAAGTGGTCGTAGTCCTAACGGACTAGTCCTCACAAGCACCACCCGTTCACGAGTATGACGATGCACAAAACAACACTTACCTGATTCTATTACTAAAAGCCAAGCCCAAAGTAAGCAGTACTCCAATAATAAAACTCACGACGGTCGCGTGAAAAAGGGAAATAGAAAGTTGAAAGACCAAGAATAAGAAGCAAAGATACGTCAGCATAATGCCACCAAGAAATCCAAGTACGCTCTTGAGAATAAAGTTCGGAATTGTCAAATCAGTTTTCAAATATAGCAAAAAGTGGGATATGGAGGAACCTTCGGGGTATAGTCTTTTGAATATCTTTGAAATCCGTTTGCGAGTGTCCGAACGGTAGTAGCGCCATCTTTGCGACAACGATTTCTCTGGTATCGGTGTGTTTGCGGCCATGATCGAATTATATTTCTCATTTTCGTAATTCTGCCTATATTTTTCTATAGTCCTCGCTTTCCAAAGCAACGCAAAGTATGCCATAACTATTTTTGTTTATTTTGTTTGATTAATTTTTTGGTAAAATCAATAATTTTTTTATCTTTTGGCATGTTGACAATTTTATGCTGAATGACATGGACGAGACGTCACAAAAATAATTATGAAGCAATGAGAAACGTGTGTAGGTACAATATAGGTACAACCTAGATAGATAGGTACTTACAACTAAACGAGGGTTTTGACTTTTATTTTTTATACTAGAAACTTTAACATCTTTAGAACATGTTTAATTTTTTTTTTTTATGTAATCACAAATTTGTCCTAGAAGCCGGTGAAATTATTAAGTCTTGTCTTTCTAGATCATTACCAGAAAGTAAATTTCTTAATAATACATAATTATTATTAAATAAATATAATTGCTATATCAATATTCTATTGAATTACTTAAGTTGAAAACTCCTGCCAAAACATCAGTAGCAAATACTTTAAAATCCACAACGTTTAACGTTTTAGGCGTTAACAACAAAATGTAATAAATCGTCTTCAAGCAGTACATTGCCCTTTATTGTGTATCTAAATAATAAAGTATGTACAGTACCTACTCAATTCAATTCATACAATGAACTTCTGTTCAATTGTTGTCGAAATACAACACACTTGAACGCATCCTTATAATACAAAACAGGAAGTCAACTATTTGATCGATTCAGTTAGTAATTACAGGCAATTTGTCGAGACAAACACCTCAGACAGCTAAAGTTAAATTCAATCACATTCAAAGTTCGTTGACATTAACGAAATTGTCAATAATAAAATTAAAATGAACTTGCCCTGTTTAGCCGCCTTGCGGAGCTGCGCAAGGGGTCCATTCACTAAACATGCGCACGACGCTGCATTGCTACAAAATCAACTTCACTCCGTAGCTGTGTATATCGTGGAACGATATTTTTTTAATGATAATATTCGAGACGACGTAATGCAGTTGTTTTTGTGCAGTGATCTTTGGTAATATTGCAAGATAATATAAAAATGTTTAGGTGATCATAGTGTAATTTATGAAAACACATCAAGATTAGAATCGAAAAAATTAGCAAGGAAAATCTGTGAGTAGATTTAATATTCATATATCTTTTTATTATTGCGGTTAGGATATTCTCTCTAATTTTAAAGCTTTGTTACAAGTAATCTTTTGTTAATTCATTGGCCATTCGTTATTGTGATACAAAAGACACAAGTCTTTTGTTGGATTATTGTCAATTTGTCGGTGATGTTATACGATAGATTAGAATTGCTTGCAGAGTGCATTGTTGTACAATACAGTATCAGTAATAGTACCTAGACGGAAAATAAACTTGTAATCACTGGGCAGTCCCCGTAATAATAATTTATTTTTACTTAATCCAATTTAGAAAACGTGAACGCTATTTCTATTTTTTAATTAATTGAATGGAACTTAGTTAACGAAATGTCAAAATTTCGGTTGTTTTGACAGCGTTTTGACGTTCCTGACATTATATTTTTGATAAATATTGTTTCTATTTCCGGTATAAAGATTTGAAAATATAAATGTTATAATATTTTTATTTCATTTTAAAATATTCCCGTCGTTTATTTATATGGAACATTTCGCCAAAGTATTTTTAATAATAATAATCATGTCGAGTTTTGGTAATATATTTTTATTTTTGTGGATGATGAATATAATAATATGTCAGATAAATGGAATATACCGAAATATTTCAAGAAATTTTGATTTTGAACAAAATACCCAATTTAAAATGAAAACCTTTAGATCGAAAACAGTAAGAAACCACTCAGCTGTAATACTCACCTCACCTCCTTTTTTTTTAAATATAGACCATGGACAACGAACAGCCTCACCAGGAGCTGGTGAAGTGTGTAGTGGTGGGCGACACGGCAGTCGGAAAGACTCGCCTCATATGCGCACGCGCATGCAACAAGCATGTATCACTGTCCCAGTTGATGACGACGCATGTGCCCACTGTCTGGGCTATTGATCAGTATCGGATATATAAAGATGTGAGTACTAAGAAATCTTGCATTGTTGCTGAATGAACTGTTGGAGATAAGTATGGTGTGACATCTATATTAGTACATGTATCTAAACCAGCTTTAGTAGGCTACTATTTTGGCTGGGCAGGGAGAGAAACATGACTGGCGAAGGTGAATAAGTGTTGACATATGTCTGCAAAGGGATGGACAGTTACAAGTTTTGGGAACTGCTCAAAGTTTCCTTCTCCGCACATTGAATTTATGGAATGCTAAGAAGTTTGTTATTCTTTAAGTTGACAGCAATAAATCTAATTTATTCTTGGTTACATCACACCAGAGTTGTAAATATGACATTACTGTTGCTAAGTAACAGTAGTACAGTAGTAATTTTAAATGTTTGATTCAACTTTTTATTTTCAGCCAATTTGCCTAATATGATGCTTTAGTCTATTACATATTAACACATTTTACTTTTAAATAATATATAAACAAGCAGAAAAGTAAACAATAATAGCAAATAAATACAGAATTAAGTTCTGTTAAAATTCTAGTTACTAACTGAAGTAGGATCTGTGGTGAAAGATCACTTCTGAAGACAAACTATGTAAATTTATTTACAGTTTCCTGCTCTTTAGTTTATTTAATAATGTACATTTACAAACAAAATTAAGAGTGTTTGTAGTGTTGAGTACTTCATCAGTTGCTAAAAATAATAAGAACATACTTATATATTCAGAATTTGAAGGTCTAATAATTATTTATAGTGTCTGGCTAGTACTCTGCATTTCTATGACTAGAGTTGAGAGTGAATGAACTAAACAAACAAACTAGTTCGCAGAAGAGTTATGAACCATCATATTCTATTGTAAAAAATATGATGATGCCTCTACAAGTGGAAGAATGTCATCCTTATAGAATATTGTATGACATTATAAACTATATATATGTAATTTTATTTTTAAATTGCTTATGTAAAAGGACTGTCCTTTGTACTTCTGGAAAGACTTAATTAATAAATTATTATCTAGTGATTGAACATAGCATAACAAGTACTCCATAAAACGTCTATTGTATAGGTGTTGGAGAGATCTTGGGAGGTTGTTGACGGTGTCAATGTCTCGTTACGCCTGTGGGACACATTTGGTGATCATGAGAAAGACAGAAGATTTGCTTATGGCAGGTAAGTAATATATCAGCCTATTTCATGTAGTTTTTTTAGCTATATACCAATATATCTGTATTATGCAGCGGAATGAGGACCATGTCTTATGGATAGTGTATAATATGAATGTGGATGGATGTAAAGGGAGGGGACGCCCTAAGAAAAGATGGATGGATTGTGTGAAAGATGATATGAATAAAAGAAGAGTATGTTCAGATATGACGACCGATAGAGAGCAGTGGAAGAGAATGACATACTGCGCCAACCCCAAATAATGGGATAAAGGCAAGGCAATGATGATGACCAATATATCTGTATATACTGCTTTAGAATAGGGTTGCAGAAGACCAGAGTTCCTTGGAGAGAGTTGGAGGAGGCCTATGCCAAAAGGCAAACCGAGTTTTACAAACACATTTTATAAACCACATAATGATAATAATAAAGCTTCTTTTGCCAAAGTTGTACCCCAACAAAAAAAGGCTTTATTATTATATATCCAGTAACATAGGTCTATTTCTCACTATTTGATATCATTGACAAGACACTGCTATTTGAACAAGAATTTGTTGTTATTGTAATTCAAATAGTGTGAAGAGTATAGTTATTAATGTAGTAATTAAAACAATATATCCAACAAACTCTTTTATTGTTTTCAGATCCGATGTGGTACTACTGTGTTTTTCTATAACGAACCCTATATCATTGAGGAATTGTGGAGCCATGTGGTATCCAGAAATAAGGTTATTATTATTCTATTTTACTATACTCCTATTTATAAATGTGAAACTTCTTAACAATAATTTTTATTGATGTGAAATTTACAAATTTACAGTACTTCTCATAAAGTATTTCATTCTTAATAAATAAACGGCAGTAAATATTGTTAATCTAATTAAAAAAAAAAGAGAGCTAACATTAAACAGTTATAATAAACTATTAAAAGATGATCAATGAAATGATCTTTTATATGTTAAATGGAATGCACTCAGTTTATTGTTTATCAATATTGAAATTTTCGTGAAATTTGAATGTACTATTTACAAATATATAGTTTTGTACTTATTTGTAAAGTCATAAAGGTCAATTTGAAATGGCCCTGGTGGTCCAGCGAGAGAATTAATTAGGTGGTGTTATGTGGTGTGTGATAGATATTGTTATTATTTTCAGACGTTTTTGCCCTAATACTCCAATACTGCTAGTAGGCTGCAAGAATGATCTACGTTATATGTACAGAGATGAAACTTATCTCAACTATTGCAAAGATCGTAGCCCTTTTATTCGGTAAGTTTTACTAACAATAACAGTAATTAAAAAAAAAGACAAGTTTATACTATTCTTATCGAAATAACACTTATTATTGTTTCCACATTAGCTTATTATATTATATTATACAAAAAAAAAACGTTAAAATTTAACTATTGTAGTTATTTCACTGTTTTGTTCTTTACTAATAACTGCCCCATATGCTTTTATTCAATTATGGTTACTTCTTTATTTTCAATTGTAGAGCACCAAGGAAAAGTGATCTAGTGATGCCAGATCAGGGTCGAGCTCTAGCTCATGAGTTTGGTATATATTACTATGAGACATCAGTATTCACGTACTACGGAGTGAACGAAGTTTTCGAAAATGCGATACGAGCAGCTTTGATCGCACGAAGACAACAAAGGTTTTGGATGACGAATTTGAAGAGAGTGCAGAGGCCTCTTTTACAGGTATTATAGTTCTCTGATCATCGTAACGATTGACATGTAGATAATGTTTCTAGCAGTAAGTTCATCTTTTGTACTATGTTTTATTTGGTCAATGAAATATGAGGAATATAAGTAAATTTAAAAAAATACGCGTTTAATTTACAGGCTCGTCATGAAGATAAAGCTATTTTTCAAAGGTTTTTGTTGCGTTGATTACATTCAAGCTAATATAGTTAGCATTTTATATTTTAAATCGTTTGTTATATCAATATAATAGTTGCTCATAGTTAAATGTAGATTTATTGTAATTTCTTAGTGTAGGGTTTTATATAATTAAAGTGTCCTTCAAGGGTCTATTTTAGGTACAAAAAATAACAATACACTATTATAAGTATACTATTATAAATAAATTACTATTAAAAAGAAAACTTCTTATAATGCCAAATAATTTTTATTTTAGGCACCGTTCAGACCACCGCGACCAATGGAACCTGAGGTGACTGTTGTAAATAGTATATACTTGGAAAATATGACCACATTGCTGAGGCAACAGGTAATTTTAATATAAAAGAAGAAATCTTATATTTACTAAAAAAACTGACTCTGAATGTAACGCATTGTGTATATTGGAGATCATTGTAAGAAGAGCCAAGCGTCTTATAAGTGTTTTCTATAATTGGAAAGGTAGTTAGAAATTAAAATCAATATATATATATGTCCCCTATGAGACAGTCCAAACTTGTTAGATTTTAGACACAGAGTGAGGGGCACAGATATCGTGGTACACTAAAGCTATGAAATTGTGTGAGTAGTACAGTATGTTTTCAATTTGGACATCACTAATAAAACATGGCCTAATCAAGTTTAGAATAAAGATGTTTGGAGGTGGCAGGGACCGGCCTTTTCCTAACAATGTAATACTGAAGACTTTGTCGACGAGATTCTAACCCACGATTGTGTTCTAAAGTACAATTTAAATGAGAAAGTTTATTTAAGGTAAATCTCATATATGTTATCAATTTCATAGTATTTCTCGGACATGGTGATCATATGCGGAGCGAAGGGTTTCCCTGTCCACCGATTTATGATGGCGGCGGCTTGTGAAGCCTTCCACAGGCTCCTCACCACTGACTGCGTCAGCCTCTCCGCAGAACTGGCTCGGAGCTCCAGTGAGAGCAGTATGGTAATATCATTTGTCTCGCTTTGTATCAATATCTCTATTACATGATAAACTTACAGGAGAAATTCCTTTTAAAATTTCCTTCTATAAATAATATACAAGAATAAGTAAATCTTGTTATCTTGCTTGTTTGCGTTGTAAGTTACAATATTGTCATTTACATTTTAAAGAAGTGATGTATATATAATTCTTTATAACATCACTGGCTACCCGTCCCGGATTCGCACGGGTGTAAATTAAAACTGCATTAAAATCCGTTTCGTAGTTTAAAAGATCTAAGCGAACAGACAGCGGAAATAACTTCATTATATACTATATAAAGATATTATATATATGTTCTAGAACACAATGAGCGTCCTAACAGGTGTCTATTAAAATTGAATTGTATTTATTAAGGATTTATTATTAATAGGTGAGCAGTATGGGTGAGGCCACTACTGGTGAATTCAATGAAGACACCGAATACTTGATACGGCAAGACCAAGCCAAGCAGATGAGGTAAATATAATAAATCTATTCTGTTCATATGATAAATATGTAATTGTTATCTCTGTATAGTACATATATGAGAATAATTACTATTGGGGGACTTTATAAAAGTAACAAACACAATACTCTGAATGTTAAGATTTTTGACGGTATAGTTGTGTCTGCAAATATCGGATATAGGTAGTCTTCACATATAATTTTAATATTTGTTATATTCCAACTGATTTACAAACAAAAAACTAAACAATTGTTATAGCTCAGCTAGTAGATAAAAAAATAACTTCAAAGGTTGGCCATAATTTTTTTATGTATTTTTCAGGGTATGGGACCAGATAAAAAGGCGCTCGTCGTGTCAAATCCTGCCGCTGAGCGATAGCTGTAAGAAGCCGCCAGATTTGTATCGAGAAGTCAACCACCCCGCCATAAACGCAATACGAGTCGTCAAAGTTAGTAGTAGAACAATATCTAATTTAATTTTAGACTTACAGTCAAAAATTCATACATATTCTTTGCGGGGAAAGAGACAAGGGATTGTCAAAAAATTATACGTCCTCTCTCCGGGGGGACGAGGGATTGTTACAAATGTGGATTAATGACCCCATTGCTAACAACGTATCATATCAGCTTGACGTCCACGCAGTTCTGCTGGAAACCATCAAGATAAATTTATTGTAATTTGATTGCCTAATCTGCACCTTAGAACCGAAATACATATTACAAAGAAAGTGGCTTGACGGTTGAAATTCGTGAGACTTAAGTTACCTACGCAGACGACTTTTTACAGTCTATGTTATTGACATAAGGTCATTCAAGATTATAATTATTATTTTTTTTCAATGTGACTGATCTCAGATCGCGATTCGGGCATTGATTAAGGAGTTATGAGCAAACATGGCTTGATGAAAACCACACAACACGCACGGCATAATAATTGTTTATACACTGTGATAATAGTTTTCTATTATAAAATTAGTAAAATATGCATACGCGGCGTTAATCAGACACGTTCGGAAGCGAACGAATTGATTTCGCCATATTACTTTCATGCAGAGGCTCGGATGTACTCGGCTCCTTTCGGTCCTAGATCGTGAAGTATGGCTATCTTTGTCTATTACACGAGGTGTGCATTTAAAACGGATTGTGGCGCGAACAGTCATTATGACAAAGTACTGAGTGTTATTATTATTTTTCGTAACAACGATCATTATATATGAGATATTACAATACGAACCAAAAGAATAATTTTATTCACGAAATATTTTATAATAATTAACCCTAACATAACATTTCAGTGTGACAAGATCCAGCATGCTACGTCACAAACACAGACAATTGTGACCATGAGCAAGTTAATATCACAGAATGTTATGCAGGAAATCATCAATTTTATATACACTGGAACATTGGACAGCAGTGCCTTTAAACAACAGGTATGGCAACTATTTAGATATATTTACAAAACTAGCCGAAATGGCAACTCAAAATTTGTTACTCTGTATTTTTTAATAGCGAAAAATGTTCAGGGTATTTGTATCTTCCGATATATGAATACTATAGAATGGTACAAAATTATCTTTATTTTATATTCTATAAATATTTCCTCATATTCTAAGTATTATTAATAGTAATAATAATTTTAATAATTCAATTATAATGCTGTTTCGCAGTCCGCTGCTATTGGATTAATGCTGGTAAATTTTATTATTATAATAGAATTTATTAAAACATTATTATTTTTTATAATTCATTGTTTTTATTATTTTTAAAATCGATAGGTACATCATTATATTTATTTTTATTATATCATTGTATAAATATCGCATTTACATTTCAATATTATTTCATATATTAGAATTACCTACTCTATGTGCATTATACGAAAAATAAATTTTTCAAAAATCATTATTTTTTGTTTTTAATCTTTATTCTAACTTAGAGACGAGTTATAATTAATAATTAAATTACTGTCGTCAAAGTCATTGTTCTGCCAGCACTGCATTTATCCGCTTGTGTACCTTTAAATACCTTCTCATATCTAAATTTATAATTTTCTTTCATCATGATTTTCTTTATTAAAATTTAATATTAAATTAAAAGACATAAAACTTAATTTAACACTTTAAGATAGACCAAAAGGCAATCGCTAAATATACACGTATGAATAAGAAGAGAACATCTCATTCTAGCAATTATTCTAATTTGTGTGAGCGAGATAGAAGACGACGCAAAAGAGCGTACGAGTCTAAAATTAATTTCAATATTATAAAATCTTTTTTTTTAAGTTGAATGGATGATACTGAGAATGACGTTTTATTGGGTACAGGAAATTCGTCAGGCGGCCGAGCTGCTTGGTTTCCACGAGCTGACCAAGCTGAGTCAGTTTATTCTCGACCAACATCTGCTATTTGATAAGGGATTTATGCTGCAGTTTCATACGGTTAGTGAAGAATTGTATATACTAAAGGGAAACTACACATTCACGACGTACACGAGTGTCATGAGTAATCTTGTTCACTAAAATATCTAGACGTATGGCGGCGTGGTGGGTCGGGTCAGTCCTAGAACAGCGTAACACTGTTCAAAGCAAATAAATAAATAAATAAAAGTTTATTTTAGTATGCTGCAGATTTGATCTTACGATCTCTTAGCCACGAGGCTCCCAATAAATTAAATTTTATTGTTATATTTTATTATATTTCAGCCTTTACCCCAAAGACTTCGCGATATGTACGTAGAACGTAATCTATTCGCCGATGTGACGTTTGATCTCGACGATGGGATACATCTTGCACACAAAGCTATACTGATGGCCCGTTGTGACCCTATGAAAGCCATGTTTCAAGGTCATTTTAGGGAGAGCACCTCCAGAGTGGTGAGCGGTACAATTTATTACTTTATGGCTTATTTTATAAGGTCTATTTTTATATGGATGTAACACACAATTTTGATAAAATTGCAATAGCACACGTTATTCTTCCTATTTCAATTTAAAAATGAACCCATATTTGTGTAAACAAGTACAAGGTCATCTGAAAAGAATAAGAGCTGAATTTCTTGTGAGTTCTTCTAAGCTCGAAAGCACTCTGAACTGACCGTAGCTTTCACATATAATAAGAGTTTGTAATAGTAGATCTATTATAAGTACGTAGATACGTCAGTTCGGAGTGATTTCGAGTTAAGAAGAACTGACAAAAAACTCAGCTTTGAATAAATATATTTAATTTGATATGAATAGCATCTGTTCCCAAAATATAGATAAAATAAGTTTTAGAAAAAGCGTTCAACAAAAAAATTCCAGTTACATATGACAAAAAATGTTTCAGATATCGTTCCCGGGCGTGAAAATGTACGCCTTCCACATACTCCTCTGCTACATATATTCGGATAAGATACCTATGGTGGAACCGATCCGATGTCTCGAGTTACTCGAGTTGGCTAATCGATTGTGCATGAATCGATTGGTGAATCTAGTGGAAGCCAGGGTCATTGACCAGCTGCAGCATCAGGACAGGTAATGGTTATAATTATTTGTCATTATGACTGTTTCATATTACTAGTTGATGTATATATTAGATATATGTAAAGTCGCTGCGTCTCGCGTATTTCAGCCACATGATTCATATATAATGGATATTAATGATGCGTCTGTCTGTGTTTTACAGAGTCTGTGGGGAGGATGACCAAGTGGTTGAGATCGCGTTATCTTTGTTGGAGCCTGTTAAGGTAATATTCAATATGTATAGTAGAGTTTTCCAAATCCTCCCAGTTAAAAAATAGGCTCGGCTGTTGTCGATAGTATGTTTTGTTCTCCCATCAAAGAGACAGCGAAGGAAGTTATATGTGTATGTATGTCAGGGTCACTGTGCTACAGCCCTTTGGGCTGTTGCCAGGTTTTTGGACCCCCTGGATCCTTACCTCCTTACCCTGGACCCCCCCAGGTTCTTGGACCTGTTTTTGGACCCCCTCAATATAAAAAATAGATTCCGCTGTTGTCGATTGTACGTTTTGTTCTGCCATCAAAGAGACAGTGATGGGAGTTATATGTCTACTTTTTGTTTTCTTTTGTAATGGCTTGGCACTTGGTGCATTTGCAAACTGAGTGTACTTTGTCCGTCCGTCAGTTGCACAACGCAGTGCACCTGGGCGAGTGGTGCACGTGGCGGCTGTGCGGCGCGTACGACCGTGTGTGCCGCGCTCGTCACCTCAGCCTCGCCTCGCGCGACTACCTCGCGGACAACCGCTGGCCGCCAGTCTGGTCAGTGCTTTATTCTAACACCTCAGTGGTCTAGCGGTTTAGCCCACCGCCTTTTGAAAGTCGCGGGTTCGATACTAATATTTGTATGAGTATGATTGCTTGTATAGGTCTGAGTTAAAGTGTTTTATATAGCTTTTTGTTACTGAGTAATGTCATTTTAATCAGTTGTCTATTAATAACACAAGCTCTACTTATCTTAGGACTAGGCTCTTTTTGTATAAATTGACTTATAACACATTTTATTCTTTAATTTTTAATAGTGTAGCGTGGTGATAATCACCTCTTCATTGTACCGTTGTGTATGATGTGATGAAGTGTCGCTAAATAATTAATTTATTGTAGGATCTAGATAGTGAGTACACAGGTGTAATAATTGTGCTATTTACACATTAGTAAGTTTATTTGATGGTGCTTATTAGTAACGCGTACATTCTACGCGCAGTCGTAACGTGGATTGACTGTACACTGAACTGAAATGTATGTTATCTGGAGAGTTACTAACGGAAGGGTCTCGAGTGTTGACAGAAATATTATAAATGTAGCGTTATTCCTACACTTGTATTATTTCTGTCTAATACTATTGTTAGTATTAAAGAAAGTTATTATCGCTATATTAGTTACAATAGGATTGTTTTAAGATTTTCATTAATCATAATAGTATATGTAGGTGCATATAATAGAAACGCAAGAATATAGAGCATGATAATATTAAAATAGTAAATATATGTTTATATAATATGTACGTATTAATGGAAATAACTTTATAATATTTACAGGTACGTCAAAGAGTATGACTATTATCAGAAGTGCGTGACCGAACAAACCAAAGAACAGAAGGAGATACGACCCACAACCTCGTTGCAGGCCAGCCAGCAGACAGGATGCCTGTGTTTTACAAGTAAATATATATTTTTAATCTCTCAAGACAATTTCATAGAGCTATTTAACAATTTGATTCTATACGAGTACAAACAGTCTATGGTATCCTCTTTTTTGATGTTGCCATGTTGAAGGAAAGAGAAGCTACATGGCAGTAAACGGTAATACAGGGCAAAGGTTGCGTTGGTATTTAATCTGTAAAAATAGTATTTATTAGTGTAAGATAGCTCTATAAAAATATACTGTCTATGGCCTTTCCTTTTTTGATGTTGCTCTATTGATGGCAATAATTACCAAACGTTAAACCACGAGGTGTCACCGGATGAAGGGTGGAGGATATAGGATCCTGTTACCATTTAACCATGATATCAGCGGTTGGGCCCGTTTTGCAGTACTACTTTGGCAGTTAAGGGTGGTATACAAACCACGAAAAAAGTTTTATTGGGTAAAAATTTTAAATATTGTGTAAATTGGGACAATAAACCTTTTTATCTATTTACTTTACATGCGAACCTATTTACTCTGAGAGGCGCGAGGGTACATAATCATCTTTACTGGACCGTTTGGGGTAGCACATCTGACATATTAAATTTATTTTATATATTGACTAATAATAGTGTATGCGATTTTATAAATAAATTTATAGATCGGTTAAAGGTTGCTGAAAAAGGTGAGCTCAATGCCGCATCATATTTTCTACCAGCAAAAAAGATAGCCAACAAAATACTGTAATTTCTGGGACCAATTTTAATATAGTGTTAATTGTTTGTCAGTGTAACAAGTATGGTGTTACATTAGGCAAGGGTCGGCGCGAGAGCGGGGAGAGCGCGGGCGCGGGGGAGGCGGGGCCGGCGGGGGAGGCCGCGGCCGCGTGCCGCCGCTGACGTCACACCGCGCTACTGCCGCGCCGTTTGGACGTGGCCCTCTGACATCCGCCGCTCTGATATATTGCCCTAATAATAGGTAACTCGACTTTATAAATACACGGTCGAGAGCGGGGGGTGAGCGCGGGCGCGGGGGAGGCGGGGCCGGCGGGGGATGCCGCATCGCGGTCGCCGCCGCTGACGTCACCACCGCGCTACTGCCGCGCCGCGGACGTTTTAATATAGCCGCTCTGACATTGCCCTTGTCAGTGTAACAAGTATGGTGTTACATTAGGCAAGGGTCGGCGCGAGAGCGGGGAGAGCGCGGGCGCGGGGGAGGCGGGGCCGGCGGGGGAGGCCGCGGCCGCGGTCGCCGCCGCTGACGTCACCACCGCGCTCTGCCGCGCCGCGGACGTGGCCCACCATCCGCCGCTCTGACACCTGCCCTACTGGAGGTAACTCACTCCACTCGTACACGGTCGAGAGCGGGGAGAGCGCGGGCGCGGGGGAGGCGGGGCCGGCGGGGGAGGCCGCGGCCGCGGTCGCCGCCGCTGACGTCACCACCGCGCTCTGCCGCGCCGCGGACGTGGCCCACCATCCGCCGCTCTGACACCTGCCCTACTGGAGGTAACTCACTCCACTCGTACACGGTCGAGAGCGGGGGGAGCGCGGGCGCGGGGGAGGCGGGGCCGGCGGGGGAGGCCGCGGCCGCGGTCGCCGCCGCTGACGTCACCACCGCGCTCTGCCGCGCCGCGGACGTGGCCCACCATCCGCCGCTCTGACACCTGCCCTACTGGAGGTAACTCACTCCACTCCTACACTCCGACCGACACTGGCGAGAATGAGGAGATACAGACAGACGAGAGACAAAAACACCTGCCATACTGGAGGTAACTTACTTTGACTTCTATACAACCGATGGTCTTTATTGGCCGCTGGGTACCGGCCTCGACCATGTGCTCATTACCCCAAGCGTACTCCTTCCGGTCGTCATTTATGCCTTGTAGCGAAGCCGGATACAGTTTTGAGTAGCCGAACTCGACTGAAGGTAACGATTTCGCTTCGTTCTTTAATGTGCGATTAGTAAGTAGTAAGCTCGAGGCAAAACTAGCGCTCGTAATCATAATATCGCGTACACGCATCACACATGATAAATATATTTTTTAAGCTTTTTAAATATTATAGATATATATTTTCAGAATTATGTTTTTTTCCTATTTTTATACCTAAAGAACTCTTATTTTTATTATCTTAAATAACCATAAATCTATTGCATAAATTGTGGTGTACCTCAAGGCTTCAATTTTGACCCTGTCTTATCTTACTAGTATTCAATTTGTATAATCAAATGCATTTGTCTTTTCCACAGATCCCTCCGTTTCGCGGTGCTCTTACCAGTATCAATGTGCTTTATGAGCACTATACTGACCATACTCATACTTTTCCACATCTACACTTAAATTATAGACACTACAATTAATATAATTAATATAGTTATCATTGCACTCGACTTACGTAACACTTGACTGCTAACGTTATTTATATGTGCGTGAGGTTGATATTGCATTGTCACAAGATGTGTTTGTGGTACGAGTAGCAAGATTCTAATGTGATCACCATGATGATGTAGTATCAATTCAAATGTTTGATTAACAATGCGAAATTTTTGGTTTATTGAGTTGGTATCGTGTTATATAATTTATTTCTTTCGTAGAATTGTGCATTCTAAATATTTTATTTAATTGTGGTATAATTTTATTGTTTCAATATCTCGAGGTGTATACTTGAATAGTATTTTCAATTCAATGTAATTATTATAACTAATATCAATCAAAATAATTCATTAAATTAAAATTATACAATAAAATGACAAGACAATATCGTGTAAAGTTGTCCCGTCTCATACCTGGCAAATGGTTTCCATAACGCTGATTATTTTCTATAATCATTACTTACTGACAACTGATGACATTTATAAAGTTTTTTTTTCTGTTTTCTTACAATATTTTCATAATATTGCAGTAAATGTCTAATTTCTGATTTTTACATTTTTAATCACAGAACTTCTTAAAAATATAATGCTTACCAACATTTATTTGCAAGAGCAACACGCAAGTTTCTTTATCATTCTTCTTGTGATGAGTTTGCTCTTAATGTGCTTATATTAAGTTTATTTGAGTAAAGATTGATGCACATAATAGTCTAGTAGATAATATAGACAGTTTGAATTTATTTATCCGGTATACATTTTGACTTATTGCAACAATAAAATTGAAAGAAATGCTTCACTTTATAATTTAATTTGAACTTGTTACAATGGCGTGAAGATCATAATTGAAATGTCTGATACTGATATTTCCAACATGTGCCTCTTGTATAAATATTGTAACAAGTTATGGGGATAAATGCATTTGAATGCAGTCGTGAAGGAAATCGTAATGGCGGAATACAAACGAGCAAGCGAGCAAACTGTCTGTTGTGGTATTAATTCACAAAACTTAAAAAATAAATAATGCTTTTTGGTCACAAAACAATAACAAAATGTCGGATTTGTATATGCAATCTGTTTTAACTTATCGGTAATTCTGTATGTGTAAGTGTGACAGATGTATAAAGTTAGTTGTTTATCTAGATCAACTTTTGGTTACCTGTGTAAGGTAACCAAAAGTTAATCTTGGTGATTGTTTAAGCAGTTTAAATGGAGACCGTAATTCTTTTAGAAATGAAATAAATAAAAAAATAATTATGTTGTCTTCTATCTCGCTTATACTTACTAGTGTCTACAGTAGCTATACTCCTAGTGTGATACCAATCTACATAAATTAAACTTATGCGTTTCGATCGATCACCCTCCCACTCCAATGGAGACCGAAATTACAACCTCCTGAGCCAAGATTCGAACCCCCTAGCGGTTGTGTTGGACTCAAGTCGTATCCGAGTTAGCTTTTAGTCACTCCAAGAGATTCAATAGGTTTGGAGTGTCTTCTGCATTCGCCATTTTTCGTTCAGTGAAACTGTCAACGCAAACAAAATTACAATAGTTCGAAAAAAGAACACTGACATTTGCTCGCCTTTGTTCGTTTGATACGTGCGAATAGAAAATTCATTTTTGGAATCGCAGCCACGTTTAATACCTTTAGATTCTTTTAAACGGAATTCAGTATTTGATTTTTATGGAAGTTTTATGGCTGTATGAATATGTTGTTACACACACTATTGATCATCATTATTATATTAAAACTACATTTTTCAACACAGTTGGATTTGGTGGAGTTTCACCTGTTTTCGATATATAAAGCACCTCATAAAACATGCGTGTGTTATATTCCATAACCGAACTATTTGCATTTTTTTTTCAAATTTCGAACTGACAGCCGCGCGGTATCAGCCAAATATCAGGGCTGATTTAAAAAAGTAAAACGGCGGGAAAGTTACAGTCTGCATCAGAGTTTTATGGTTGAGTTTTTTTTTAATCAATTTTGTTGAATAACGTCGTTCGATATACGTGCGTATTTCACTCGGGTTTATTATGCCCTGCCCTACAGCTCGTGCTGAAATTTCGCCTCGTGTGTTATAACCTTGATAACGCACTTGTATACTATAATATTTTTAAAGCAATACAATACACAACTATTTTAGGATGGAAAATTAAAACGTATGTATGTATCTATGGTTTTATCATGGCTATGATTCCATAAATGATAAACGCCTTCGATCGCGTCTAAGGTAGGTTTAGTTTGGTGCTTGAATGTAGAAGTATTATAGTTGTTAATATAAGAGAACAACAGTATTTAAATGTCCCTGTTCCTCTCTATAATATATATTTTAATTATATAATACGTGCAATTAAAGTACTATATTTATATATATCATAAATGAAGAGCGTAAAACGCTATTATATATTTTAATTTATTATAATATGATTATAAGAAACTGCTATTGAAGCTCAAGTTGAATATATATAATGCTAAAATAGCTATATCAGTTTATTTATATAATATATAAATATGTTATAATATCGTATATAATTTAAGGCGATGAATTTGTGATCTGTATAATTTAGTATTTGTTGATAGAGAGACGATAATTGTCACTTATAATTTATATTGCGAATTTAGTAATAGTTTTTAAACTTAAGAATTATAATTATTGTATATTAGATATATAATTTTTGATGGAATGCGTCAGATTTGTCATGGGATACAAGTCATATATTTTGGTCATAGACTGAAATTTTAAGTATGGGGAAGTATATGTATCTAAGTCACCGAAGATCAGTAAAAACGCAACAAGTCTCTTCCTTGATTATTTTAAGAAATTAACTTAACAAGTTTATTTCAGTATGCTAAGTGTATATTAATATATTTATATTTGGTCAGTTAATACTGTCCCATTTGACATGTCAGTATCGTTGTGCTATGTCAAATCTGATGCAACTCCACATACATTGAACTGCACTGTAGAGAGTGAATAGAATAGAAGTAAATACATAGACAAGGGAGTAAACGATAGTCAGTTTTAGGCGAGAAGTATTGTGTTTCAAATAGTGGATGGTAGCGACATCTATTATTTAATTATGTTATTGAGTGGTAGATGTGCGTTGAGTTTTTAATATACCATGGTAGTATCTTTCTTTAACATAGACTTGTGTAATTGTACCTCCATGTTTTTTATAACAATAGTTAAGATTTTGTGACTGTCTGGGTCATGCAATATGCTCTCAAATGTGTGACTGGATTATGAAATATAATTTTGAAAGTTCAAAATCCGAATATTTTATATCAACCACCGACAAGATCAAAGTCATATGGGTCTATTACGAGATTAACAAATCAGAAGTTATGATCATTCGATCATAACCTATTTCTAAATTTTATTATTTGAGTTTACGATTAATATGTCATTAAAATTTCAATTCTGATAGGTCTATTATTCGTTAAACAATTCAAAGTTTAGTTCTCGATTGTTCGGCTCTGTAATTTCGGAATAGGTCCTCATGACCTTTTGAGTATGGAGATTAGGTAATTGGAATCGTATCACTTTAGCCACTAAATCAAATTAATAGTAAAGTTGATTGAGTTAACCTGTACAATATGTACGGAATCACAATTGTATTAACATGTAAGCGGAGCGCACTGCCATCTGTTTACACGTCTACTCGCCTGACCGATTTCTTTTTTTTTCGGTCTACTCTAATGCTGTTGGCCGCAACTGGCCTTTACAGTTTCACCGGACGATAGAGGACAAGTGCAGATGGCACTTCAAACCGGCGGAAGGACTTAAGGAGCGACTGAAACTACTCCTGCTTGAAGATAAGGGCACCGCTAGAAGTTCGAACCTCAGAAACCGTTTCGCTTTACATAAATACTAACCACCGCGAGGCCAGTCAAATGATCACTGCACAATTATCATTCACTAAAAAATATAAAATTCCCAATTATCAATCTCCATACTTTTGTAGTTTTGGTCGCGTTTTAATGAATGAAATACTAAGAGTGAATTTTAATGCTATAAAATTGAATGACAAATGTAATGAATGAAAGGTCATATAGATTATTTAAAACTCTATGGAGTGTAAAGGAACAGAGAATATTTACTCATTTAATATTTTTGTACACCACTTTCTTGTCATCTCACTATTAGATTATTATTGTTAAGGCTCTAATATTAAGACGCTGATTTTAATTAGCTTTTTTTAATACATTTTCGAATAGTCTGTAGGTAAGTGTGAATGCTTTATTGAGAACTCAAGGAATCTATTTGTTTTATTTAAATACTTGACTTTTTTTTAAGAACGTGAAAAATTTATCTGCATACTAGGACGCCTGTAAGTTGAAATTTGGGAAGCACCAGTAATAGAATGATGAATGAATGAGATCTAACTTGGTATGGATATGTGTTAGAAAGGGTTAGGAAGAGGTAATGCCAAAACAACATGACAGGACGTTATAAATGGGGTTAATAATAAGATTGTGGTGTGGCAAGTATTGTGATTTAGCCCATATTTTGGGATAATATCTGATGAATGGTAATATCAAAAATATCCAGGTATGTACCTACAGTTTTGTTATATTTAACAAAGTATTTAATTGAAGTCAATTAGAATTATACTTTCTTTTGTTTTATAAATGTAATAAACAATAACCGCGATTACTCGAAACGCTGCGTTGAGTTGACAAATGAACAAGAGAAATAGTAATATCTCATACTTCTTATCTTTATCTTTCTGATACTTCATACTTATTGTTTTTTCATATTTATGTCACTGAAGAAGTCTGTAGTCAGATTTTTCACTAAGATAGTTTTACAGTCTTAATGTACTAAGTCCTAATATTTTTTATACGAATGTTCTTTTAATTTTGTCTGTCCCGGTTGAGGTGATACATTAATGAAGCAAATGGAGTCATATAATTAAAATAGTCTGTAATTAAGATCTCTAATAATTACAACAAATATTTAAATTATTCTACATTTAGGCAAGTCTTAAGTAACTATTTTTAGTTGTCTACAGTTTTTAGTATTTATAGGATCATGTTTTTATACCACATTAAAAAAATCTGAATGATTAATGAATAGTCATTCAGATTTTTTTTATTATTTCCAAGGTTTTTTCTAGAGACTACAGTATGGGGTTTTTAAAAGGGTGTATTAAAGTGTGTATAAATTTGACCATAGACAATGTAGAAAAAACGGAAAGGACAATGCAAAAACATTCTGCCAAGAACTTAAAAGTACAAAACATCATATAAATGATATCACTAATCATTATACATACCTACAGCAGTATTTATTTTTATATAAGGTGTAACAAGAAATTCAAAACAAGAACATACGAAAATGTTTGTTGTGTAAAATATGAAAAAATAGTAAAATATGTGTATTTTTTCTAACACGTCGTGTGAGGAATAAAGCACAATGCACCATTGTGAATGGCAACTCGAAATAAAATTATTTATTTCGGGTTTTTTTTCTCTTCTGTGATATGTATTATTTTAACTTTAATTTATATTAGGTGTGTTGCAGATGAAAATAAATTATTTATCTAAAAATATCATCAATCTATCTAAAAATCTATATCAAGCCAACCAACGTTGTAATAGTAAGTTAATATCTCTAATTATCCTAGGGTGATAACCATTACGGCTACTACTCTACTATATCTATTAAATATTTTATTGGAGTGTTCAAAACCCTATTTTTCTTGTTGAACCTTCAATTTTATAAACAGTTTCGTTGCGTTGCTGTAACTGTTATTTAAAAAAGGTCTATGCCGAAGTGAATATTTGCATTATCTGTGTTTTTTTTAAATAATATAAATTATTATTATTTTTAATGATTTTTTCAAATTGATTTTGTAGTGAACTAAAATAAAAGTCTTTTCTAAATTTAATGGTAAATCAACAAAATGTCAATAGATGCAATCTATTGATATTTTTAGTAGTTCACTATACTATACACTATTTTGCTTTTAGTTCATTACAAGATCTCTTAATATTCTTTCAGAAATACTGTTCTTATTTTTTTAATTGACAGTTAATGTAGATATTGGCAGACTAAGGTGTAATGAACGTCCTCAAAATATTCGCCATACCCTTTAAAGGATCTGAATTTTATTAAGTATATTTTTTATTGAATGTTTTATAATGAGATCTCATTCGTCAGAGCACTCATTCAAAAGCAGGGTTACTATCTAAAATAAAAAAAGTTGCTTCAATTATTAGTGATTATGTAGGGATAGATTTCAGTATGTTTGGCTACTTGGCAGCACTGAATAAATATATTTCATGCTTTCTGAAAGTTTAATATTTATTACGATAATTTGCATCATTCAACTGTTATTAGTTAAAAAGATTTTTTTATCGACTTTGGGGCACCATTTCCATTAAAGCCTCTATTTGTAATAACAATCCGTAGCTACATATCGACAATCTGAGGTCTCTTGATTTTCAGAAATTATGACAATTTTGCACATTATTTAAAGTGAATTTATAATTTTGTTAGTAAATTTACTGAAATCTAATCCAACACGCAAGTCTAGATTAGCTTAGCATTCTAGTGCATAATTAAAATAATTGTATTTTGCCAATCTTCACTGTCAGCTATTGACAATCTGCCATTTTTTACGTACCCATAGATTTTAATAAATGTATTAAATGTATGTGTAATTAATACTTTGTTTTATTGCAATCCTGCAACTTGATATAACATGCCGCAGAGTAACATGAGTAGTAGTTCTTTGTCTGTCTCGAGGTTTTTTTTTAATTTAATAATAACGGAAGCAGATACTGTATGACTAATATATTATAGTTAACTTTCCTAGAATTGATATTAATGTTAAGCATTTGATTTACAAGCCGAATCTCAAACAGGAACTAGAAATATTCTCAGTAGAGGAAGACATAATTTGGAGACACTATGATGAGTTTATCTAACTGACAAAAACGTTTATAGTGAGGTACATGGGATAATATCGGAAGAATTTCTTACAAAATATAAGGCTAAAATTGTAAAAATGTATATTTTATTTTAAACAATAATGGAATATACAACTGGAATATTGCATACTTATCCACTATTTACCGAATTTAAAGGCTTAATGAAATATTTATATTCCATCATATCTCATAACATGTCATGAATCTTAACATCCTCAGGTGTAATTGTATGAATGATGACATCTAGTATTTCAATGACATTTTTCTAGATGTTGATTATGTATATATCTATGTACTTAAGTCAAATATTTTTAATAATATACAGGGTTATAAACTGAAAGCCAGTAATAGCATTAATAAAACTGAAAAACTTTCTGAAAATGCAAAATTATTTAGTTTTAATAACATATATATGTATAAATATATAACATATAACAATAATACATCACTTTATTATAACTTATTTTTTCATCATTTTATTTTTTTGTTTCAATTAAATTATCAAATATTGAAGAATATTTTTATATATGTGCTTATTGATATTAGCTTAGATCTACCAGCCAAACTTTAGGAGACAAACTACCAAAGTGAATTCGAAATATTTAAACCTATAAAATAAAATTTAATCTTAGTTTTCCACTTTGTTTCTAGGTGAGTGTGATTCAATTTCATGAGTATTCTACTTGGCTTTCAGTTTAGTGCATTTATGAACCCAATACATAGTGTATAATAATATTTATGTAATGGTTTACTGATAATATTCAATTGTATTATATGACTATCTACCTTATGTAATACTATTACAATTGCTTCTTAATTTAACCAGATTTAAATTTAAAGTACTGCTAGTATACAAATACCAATGAAGCATATATTGTTGTTGAATTTGAAATTTTAATGAGTTTTGAATAAGATACATATTTAACTGCACTGCATAAAGTCCTGGTCAAACCCATAGATATGGTGATTGTAACAGTATTGTCACAATGACAATAGTATAGTCTTCACAGATATATCATTAATATTTAACCTATGTTTTCATTTAAAATAGAATCTTAAAGTGGGTGACCTAACAATTTGATTTCACTTCTAACTTCATCAAACAAGTCTTTGTACTCCTCATGTTCCTTCACTAACACCATGATGCAGCCCCTCATGGTTCCCATAGCAGAACCAATGTCTTTACGGCTTGGTGTGTAGCAATATGGGACGTCTTTCTCTTCGCACACAGCTGGCAGGTGGCACATGATCTCTATTGGTGATATGTCACCTGCAAAGATGACAATCCTGAAAATATAATAATAAATAAATAAATAACCTTGGACAAAGAACACAGCACCAAAACTAACTAGTCCCACAATAAGCAGTGCTTGTGTTATGAGTACTAGACAACTGATATAAATACTTTGATTTTTTAAAATAACATACATAATATACATGGAAACCACCCAGACCAATACAAACAATCATACTGTTGTAAACTAAAGTTAAGTAACTAAAAATATTTGCACCATGCGAGGAATCGAACCAGCGACCACCGGATGTAAAATGGCCTGCTGAGCCAAACCTTTACATGCTTTTTAGTGACCTCACTATTAAGGGGATTTGTGTAGCGTAAAGGGAAAAAAGCCTTGACCCAGTTATAGCAACCCTATTATGATCTAACAAATGCTTTCATGTGAAACAAAAAGCCCTATAGTTAAAAATTTCAGTTCATTTTTTTAAATAAATTGTATAACTAAGTTGTATATATTGACAGGTTGTCTGTGTTCATCTTAAATGTGAAAACATTATTATATCTAACAAAAAGTTATTGAAAGATTTTGAATTTGGAACTTTATACGGGATACAGACAGCTAATGCTATCAACCTCGTTATAAAAACAAATATCTAACCTCAAATATATTAATAGATTTAACTTACTTACCCCTTTTCTCCAAGTCGCAATTGCTTTTGTACTATTTTTAAACCATTTCTAATATAATTCTTGTGGCTAGTAGATTTCTTGATAAGTTTGTAGATCTTTTTGCTTAATTTTTTATGTGCCATGGGTTTTGCGATCACGCTGCAATGATCGACTTTATCACCGTAGCTCTGCGGTTCCGATTTTATCGAGACATCATTTTCGTCGTTTTCAATTGGTTCTTGTTTAATTTTTCCCATTTTTATATATTTAAGTTTAGTAACAATATATTTATTAACACGTGGATTACTCGAATACAATATTGTTATATGAGATGCGGTATGTAGTAGTATGCACAAACCAGAGATTAAAAAAGTAGAGATATTACAATAATTTTTTTTTTTTTTGGTTCTGTTTTTCCCTTTTTAGGGAAAGGCAAAAGGACTCAGCCCATACAGATATTACAATAAATGAGAACGATTGATTATGATTGACAGATAAAATGACAGCTCACGAATTTTTTTGCGTCAATGTCAAGTCGTTGATGAATGCTTCTTAATGTCAGTTTGTTTCCATGGCAACGAAAGTATGTCAACAAATCGAAATTAATTTCCCTGTAATAATCAAATTAACTGGAAGAATTTGCTCGATTAAAAAATAAGCACGTTGAAATATATAGTAGTTCGGAGTTATAAAAAGTAAAAAATGGTAAGTACAACGTTACAACGTTAAAATTTAGTGTTCCTGCTCTTCATAGTAAAATATTTAATTATTTTAAATTGAAATAAATTCTTATTGTATTTATAAGTTTTTCGTTCAGTGCACAGATATCATTCATAATTCTATACTTGTGATAAGTTGGCTAATGTTTAGCGTAAATATTAAATTTTCAGGGTCTATTAAGCATTTTGAAAAAACTGCGATCAAATCCCGATAAAGAGTTACGTTTGCTTCTCCTTGGTCTTGATAATGCTGGCAAGACTACATTATTGAAACAACTGGCGTCGGAGGACGTTACTCATGTCACTCCAACGGCTGGATTCAATATAAAATCCGTATTATCTAGTGGCTTCAAGCTTAATGTATGGGATATTGGTGGTCAGAGAAAGATTAGACCTTACTGGAGGAATTACTTTGAGAATACTGACATTCTGGTAAGTAAGAAAGTAGAGGGACAACTTTTCTTAATATTATGTTCTGATGCTACATGTAATTATTGCAAATTAAGTGCTCATGAAGTATTGTGTATAAAGATAGAAGTCAATGGCACTTAGTTCTATAAGCATACACTATCTGTGATACATCAGAGCCATTAAGTTAGCTAAAGGCTGCAAATATTATAAATGTGAAAAGTAGTAAATATCTGTATGATGAATTATTGATGAATAAGTCATCAACATCATCATCATCACCTTCAGGCTACTGCAGTCCACTGCCTCTCCTAAGTCATAGGATACTTATTCAATCTTGGTTAAACATGAATGAAATTTATACATATAGATCTCCAATTATAACACTAATATCTGTGGGTTAGGAGGGAAGGGGGTTAGGGGTCCTTAGTAATGTGAACTAATAACCCCATTGCTAGCAGTACAATGTCAGGTTGACCTCTTTGCGGTTCCCATTGAAATCATCATGGTAAATTACAAATTATCAAGATGGGCTAACTGACCTGACTTCATGATCACAGGCAGATGCAACATTCCATTATTGTTTCTTAAAAAAATAAATGGGGGCAAAAATAGAAACTTAAGTATTTATTGTGAGTGTTTTTTTTATTTTATAGATTTATGTAGTAGACAGTTCAGACCATCAAAGACTAGAAGAGACCAGCCAAGAGTTAACAGAATTACTGCAAGATGACAAGTTGCGTGGGGTACCACTGTTGGTCTATGCCAATAAGCAAGATTTATCTACTGGTAATTTTCTACATTTTATAGATATACTAGCTAGTCCCCGGCTTCGTATGTGTGTACATGTTTTATATATATAAACCTTCCTCTTGAATCACTCTATCTATTAAAAAAAAAAGACCTCAAAATCTGTTGCATAGTTTTAAAGTTTTTAGCATACATAGGGACGGACAGATAGCAACAGTGTTTTTTTATACTATGTAATATGTAATAACTATTTTTAGAAATCAGTGAAAGTGTAGTCCAATCAAAATAATTAAACAATGAAACTTTTACTCTTAACTCATGTAAGTCCAATTTGTTATTCCTACAAAGTGATTAGAATTTTCATTCTGTTCATCATTTTAATAATGATGAAGAAGTGATCCCACCAGTTATAATGGGTTTTATTAGGTATAAGGACTAGTAATAATACTATAGTCCCTAGCTTGTGTTATTGGTAACAGTGGAGAATGATGGGATGAAAATGAAGTCAGATTTGTAAGAACTGCTCGAAGAATACACCAGTATTTAAGCAGTTGGTTTTCAGAGGCGACTGATTAATGAAATAGGGTTAATTACCATTAATGGGGCCCTTGATTATGATTATTTGTTTCGGTCTGGGTGTTTTACATTTATGTAGTTACATATTACGAAAGTAAATAAAAAAGTATTTATATCAAATGTCTAGTACCCATAATACAAGGTCTGCTTAGCTTGGCATTAGGCAGCACAGTGTGAATTGTCATTGGTTATTATTACTATTACTAGACGTTGTAAATAATTACCATCATTTCAGCATTGCCACCGAGCGAAGTGGCGCAACAATTAGGGCTGCACCTCATCAGGGATCGGACCTGGCAGATACAAGCGTGTGTCGCGACTGACGGCACAGGGGTCAAGGTATTGTATATGTATTCAATATTACTTTTTTAAAAGATTTTTTAAACTCTTAAGCCCTAGTTTTTTATAGCATAGGGGAGCAATGAGCTTGTGTCTCACCTGATACTATGTGATTACCGCCGCCCACAAGCACTCGCATCATCAGGGAAATTGCAAGTGCGTTACCGCCCTTTTGAGATAGGCTTTTTTCTTTTGAAGGTTTCAATATCGTATAGGTTCGGAAATATCAATGCTGGAAAGGAACCACAATGTGATAGTGTCTGGAAAAGTTTCTTTTAGTTGTTTTGATACTATGGTTTAGACGATCTCAGTCTAAACCATAATATCAAAACTACAACGGCTCAAATGAGAGGGTAGGTAAAAACGGAAAACAGCGTCTAACATACGACGGGCACACCAAGCACGCGGAAGGACTTATGTAGTAGCTGAAGGCCAACTTATGCGTAACGCATGACTTTAATCTGAGTTTGCCACCAGAGGCTCGAAACTTGTCTTAGAACACAATTACATTAAGTTTATTTAAAGAAATAAAATATTAAAAAGACATTTTTTTTTAATTCTACTGAATTATAATGGAAATGGGATAGTTTGGAGTGGCGTAGTATTTCCATAGTACCTAATCTGTATTTTATTTCTGAGTAAATACCTACTATGATAATAATATTATTACACATTATAAACATACATTTTTTTATTTGCAGGAAGGTATGGAATGGGTATGTAAGAATATTCCAGTTAAGAAGTAACTTTTAATTGCAATACCTAATTTAACTAGTATGTTATACAAATAAAATTCTCACATTATATAATACTTAATTGATATTTTTGGAAAATAAGTGCAATTTAGAGAATTAATTTGGACATTATATTTAAATTATGTTATTTATTGATAACTTGGTATGAGTATTAATTTTCAATTTAAATTTGAGAAGAAACTCAATTTGAATGTATTGATTGATATTTTTTGCTAATTTCCCGCCGATTTTGAAGATTATTTTTGTATTCAACAGTTTCTTTAGTAATCATGTCAGGATTGAAGTAGAGGGTTTCTGTGGAACAAAATATATTAGTGTGATTTTAGTATAAGTATATTAGACTAGTCAATTTTACTTATGATTTTTATTTGCAACTAGTGGTATTAATATATCCTATTATGATTTTTGATATGTGATGATATCAACACATGTTTAGTTATTGCTAGTATGAGAAGTGTTAACATTAGGCTACGCTGACTTGACGTTATTTGAATAAAATTAAAATAAAAATTATTTCAAATATTATTCTAGTATTGAGTTAATTCAAACTTAAATATTACATTAATACAAAAAAAACTGCAGTAATTAAATAGTTTATATCTGTGCCATTTTTTTTTATTCTCTTAATAGGCAAATACTTTAAAAGAGTATTTTAAATGAATTATTCTTTAAATGAATATTGCATTGGTCACGGTAAAAGTAAGCCTGAAAGTAATAACAGCTATTACTTAACATAATAATCCCTTGTAACGTATTTAGTTCTTAATTAGCAGTTTTATTACCGTACCTAAATATAATATTGAATAATGTATCGAAAAATCAACCGTTATTGCACGTAGAGATAAAAGACAGCCGGATATTGCCGTCTCGTTTTATACCGTGCGTTCAGTAAGATTGATGCGTTTTAAAATACATTTTTGTGCTAGTTATTGATGAAGAGTACAAACGATTAGTGATCTCTTATATTAGGTTTAGTCAGCACTAACTGTGCCTAACTCTAGTAATGCGCCAATCAAAACGCCGTTTGATTGGCGCATTACTAGAGAAAGCAGGGTGTCTACGGCGTCGTCATTGGATTTTATCTTAAATATACAGAGTTACTTAAGACAGCACAGACCGTTCGAAACTTTCTTAAAAATATAGAGTTAAGTAACTGCCTGCCTTTATACGTGCTCTCTTTCACGTGCGAATTTGCTTACAGGTAAGAAAAAAGAAAACAAGAGCCGACTTTTTAAGCTTGCTCATTCCTGCGTATTAATTATAAAGTTATTTATAAATCTATCTAACAATAGAAAATAAATAGATAATTTCTAGAATGCGCGCGAGGTTTTTCCCGCGTTAAATCGCGTGTTCCTGATCGTGCGTGAAAGAATGCGACGTGTAATATGTTTCATAAATTGATTCATATATGACCATATGATCCTTAACATAATATTCTCTTATTATTGGTTGATTATATGTTACGTATATTTTGTGTATTTATATTTTCTGTATATCTGCTGTGTTGTTTATTAAATTATAACAAAAAAATCTAATATAATCGCAGTAATGTGTAGTAAAAATGGTCCGTCCGATTTATGTTTAGAGATAAATAAATATTTTTACACTTAAATAATTATGCTTAGTGAGATACTGAAAATGATATTGTGTATCTATTTCTTCTAGTCATGAGAAAAGTTATAAGTTAGTTAATAAACTATGGGTTTTATTACGATTAATATATAGGATGTTTCTAAATTAAGAAACAAGAGCTTTATATATAGAGCTGATAGTATTCACATATATGTTTTTATGCGTACAATTAGGAAAAATCACGCGATCTTACCATGTTACAGGTAACAGTTTACCCGTAATCATGGCGGGAGAAAAACTACCGAAATATCGGAAACTCTAGATCAATAATACGTAAGATCTAACGATTTTTCCTAATTGTACATATAAATAATGATCGTGGCTAATATTTTTTATGTATTATAATTATAATAATAAAACACTCACACACAAATCAAACTTATGCACGCGTTAATATAAAAGTAATATATTTATTGATTGCTGAGTAACCAGTAATAATATGAATAAACCCGATCAGTTTTGGCTATTCCCGTTTGAATTGGACGGGGAATGGAACGAAAGGCATTCAGTCGCCAAACAGCAATCTTAATAGATACAAAACAAATACAATTGATGTGTAGTATTATGTTAATTTTCTGACACGTTTTGTTTAATTTATTATTGTATTATATTTACATAAATAATGTTATACTTTTAATTATATTTGGTTTAAGATGTGTAATTATAGAGTTTCTTCCAGTTAAATAAATAATACGGTATCTGCATCAGACTTTTATTTAAATAATGTAATACAATTTTGCTTAATGCTATCTCCATACAATTCACATGGTCTTACCAAATAAGAAATGCAATTTTATAACCGTATAACATCATACAATTTTACAGAATATTTCAGATGTTTCTATGGTAAAAATTTGAATGTGACCTAAGTCATACAATAGAATTTCAGTAAGATAATGTATGTATGAATAAAATGTGTGTATGATATCATACAAATATTATGCTTAAGTTAAGGATTATTTGCAGTTCAATAACAATAAGAATGAAGATATAATATCATTTATTATTAAAGATATAATATTTACAGCCTCTCAATACCTCATAACTGAAATATATTAAATGCAATTTATATTATTATATAAAAAAAATGTTTTCTTCATAAAAAAAATGTTCTATTATACATACATATACCCCTCTCAGTTATAAAAACTTTAAACGTCTAATTTAGGTAGATGCTGTTCTGTTTTGTCTTTTTCATTTGAGCCATTTTCTAAACTATTGTAGTATTATTAATATAAATTATTGTTCTTGTTTCTAGTTGTACATGTTAATTTATTTATTAAATACTGATGCATAAATGCAAATTATTGAAAATTATTAATTTATATATATTAAATAGGTATCTACAATTAAAATTTCTAACACAAAAATGATTAAAAACAGTTCAAAGGAAGTATTATTATATACTTTTTAGTATATAATATCTTAGAGAGAGATTCGAAGCATTACATACAACAGTACTTTAGCACCAATGGTCCAGCTTTCTCTATAAACCTAAGCCATTTTACATTTAAAGCGACCAGTCAATGCCGTTATCATTCTGTACTTACAAAATAGGAAATTGTATCGAGATAAGTTGGTAGAAATGTATACCAACCGCCCGGTCAATTTCGACATATTAGCACACTTAATACAACACTGAACAGGGTTGCCAACCTTAAAATACTTTGCTACGTACGAAGAAATAAATAAATCTAATAAAATCGTGTACATTTATAAATGATTGAGGATGTAAATATCCTCGTGCGGATGGCCAAAAACTTCCTATAGGAGCCTAGCATACTCGTATGGATGGCATTTTTTTTAAGGTAAGTAATTTTACCCATGAGCACCTGCAATATCTCATACTGCATTAACTAAAATTTTTATTTTAATAAATGTGTTATTTTGTAAAATTTACTATAAAGTATTAACTTCACAATATAATTCTAAAAAACTATTGAGTTAGTAATTATTGAGTTAAGGCAGTATTATATTAAGCGTGGATCATTTATATTAACTAACTCACTTGTAATAGGTATATATCGATGTCTAAATATGCTAGTCACAATGTATTTACCAATATTATTGTTAGTAGAAATAAATGAAATCGTTAATATGAGAAAAACGTCGATACAAAAGGTGCTATAATATTTGTGACTTATAAAATTCTTAAAATTAAACAAGTATAAAATATCACGACTTAATAAAGTAAATCCACTAATAAATCCTCTTTTTTACAATAAACTATAAAAGAACCTTGTCAAAATGAAATAATTTATGAATTATTAAATATATATTAATAATAATCATAACGAAATTATGCAAATTAGAAACAAACCTTGCATTTGTTAATATAGCAGAGATTAAAATAACATTGACAGTTATGTCTTAACTGTATTTTTAATTAGTACAAGAAGTGAGTAATAAAAGGATCTTCAGATATTTGGAAAAGAGAAGCAATAATAGGTAACAAGAAGTTTAAGTAGAGTCGCAAATTAATCAGTAAATTCGCCTATTTATAGGGCAAATGTTTGACGAATAATGTCTATGTACCTAATAACACTACATTAGTAGCTTAAATTTTCTTATATTGTCTACATACTTGCAACCTCCTACGTATGAAGATGTAATTAATTTTCTATTATCAGAATTAGGTACCTATATTATTATGAAATAATTATATAATATAGATACCAGTGGCGTAATTGTGGCGTGGCGGCTTCTTTATATGTGAAGAAGGAGGGAGGGGCCTTCCTTATTCCCGTTTAAATAAGGTTAACCAACAATACGAGTATTTTTTAATTTTATAATATTCAATTCTTTCTAAAACTGGTAAACAATGCCGTTAGCTGTGATCACGGCGGTTGAAACACTGCCGAAATATCGGGAACGCAATAAAAAAAACGTGGTAAGATCCCGTAGTTTTTACATATAAATGCATTGAATTTTTACTCGTGTGTGCAACTAAGTAGTTGACTTAAGTAAATTGAAGACAAAACATTTTTTTTACTAAAAGCACATCTAACATAATATTACATACTAAAAGTAAAAGTTGGGTATGTAAAGTTGCAAAAAGGCACGAACCCCCAGCCGGAAGGGGTTCCGGCTGGGGGTTCGTGCCATTTTGCCGACTTGCCACCCTGTAGTTACGCCACTGTTAGTTACATAAGTACTTTATTTTTATTTATATATCGTCATTTTCCAATTTACTATTGTCAATTTGAATTAAAATGTGTAATTATCAAAATAGATAACCATTTTGAAAAATATCGATGGAGTTTATAATTCACTGTGGTAAACTTCGGTTGTCACTTTCATTTCGTGTTCGTGGAACGCCGTGCAATCGGCTGGATACGTGGCCTGGAAAGTAATTTTTTGCTTAGTGATTGTTTGATGATTTTTTTATAGCATAGGGGACAAATGGCGAGCTGTCGTGTGGCGGATGACATCCGCCTCAAACCCCACTACATAAAAAAATATGACTCTTAAAAAGTACAATATTAATTATATTTGAATAAATTTTCGTCTTCATCAGGTGAACCGTGTTTTTTTTAAATTTAGACTTCATTAATTACAAGCACATATAAATATAATCTTCTTTATAATATTAAAGTAGATTGTCAATAATATTACAAAAATAATTCTAAGGGCAGAAAAAATTTGGAGCTACTTACCTCACAATTGACGTCATTCTGTATAGCGTTGTACAAGTCCCAGAAACCTTTGCCGTTCTGGAAGCTTAGTGCCGCCGAGGCAACTAGACTGCTCAGCTTTGTCAATCCTGCCTTGAAACCTGGAAGTCCTGGAAATGATACAATATTTTTTAAACCAGACTTTAATATTATAAATGGAAAAGTGTCAAATGTGTCACGGCTAAACGGTTCAACGTATTAAGGAGAATGCGTATTATATTCTTTATTGCAGTTAAATACTTTAGCATTAGCGGATACAGAATCACGTTTTCGTTATAAACAACCTATCGAGCGTTACGTAATTATATTTTCGTCTTCGTTGTACGTAATTATATTTTTAGTTAATTCGTTTATTAATAAACTATAAACGTATTAACTAAAAATGATTATGTGTTTTTATAAGTGGTCGAAGTGGCAGCGAGAGATATACCAACAAAATTTCTCTAAAAGATCTTGGCCTGTCTAGAATAACAGTAAGCTCTAAACGAGAACATGTAAGCTGCACTAGCAGTCTCCTACCATTTTTGGTTGGGCAGGGAGAAAAGCACAAGCGGAGAAGGTGAGTTCAACACACATCTTCTCCATTCGTCGGCAAAGGGACCTCATTAAACCTACACCCGGGGCACAAGTCCGGGAACTGCTCGGAGTTTCCCTCTCTGACACACGATGGACACGGCTCCCGAACGGTATGGCTCCATGGATAAATTCGTCTCATGATCATCATCATCATCATCATCATCTGCTTCTTCCTTATCCCCTTTATTTGGGGTCGGCGTAATATGTTTTTCGCTTCCATTCATCCCTGTTCGCAGTCATCGCGTTATTTACTTCCTTTCTTACCATATCACCTTTCACACAGTCCATCCATCTCTTTTTCGGCCTTCCTCTGCCCTTATAACCATCCACATTCATTTGTAACATCTTTCTTAAAATATTATCCTCGTTCCTAAATTCGTCTCATGATATCGGCATAAATTATTTAAGTATCAGTATATCTATCTATAGTCGAATTTTAACAACTTTGTAGAACTTTAAATTATATTAAATGAAAGAGTAAAAAATTTATACTTGATACGCTGTACCGTTTCAGTTTCACAATCTCCTTTTGAATAACAAAGCTAACTGTAGTATTCCTTCGACCCTACAAAAGTTTGTAACTTTTCCATACTTCGAACATTTTCGAGATCCAAAAATATTTTAGTAAGTTTGGAGTTTTTATAGAGTTGGTTGGTATATCTAGATGAATTTATTTTAGAGTTCGGTACTGAAAGATAACATTTTGTTCAACGAATTTTAGTGAGATCCTAACGTAGCGTGGGTGTGTACCTTTTCGATTACAAAGGAATGCCCTTTACAGTTAATCTTTTATATGTAGATGATGTCTAAAATAATTTTAATAATATCATTAGTACGATAATTAATAATCTTATACAGGATGCTAACAAATTGTAAGCATTACCTTCTCCGATATTAGATACTAGCTTTTGCCCGCGGCTTCGCTCGCTTTAATTTATCCCCTTAGGGGTGGAATTCATATAGCTTTATGCATGCAAAGTCTCAGCCCGATCGGTTTAAAATTGACAAAGTTTCATACAAACTTTTATCCCCTATTTTATCCCCTTGGGGGTAGAATTAATCAAAATCCTTTCTTAGCGGATGCCTACGTCATAACATCTACCTGCATGCCAAATTTCAGACCGATCCGTCCAGCGGTTTGGTCTGTGCGTTGATAGATCACTATGTCAGTCACCTTTGAGTTATATATATTTAGATATATGTAAGTATAGTATGATAATGATGAAAATATTTGAAAGGTTATTAAGTTTTTCATACAAAATAATAATATCTAATTGGACTAAAACATATATATTATAATGGTATGCTTTGTGTTGTGACAAATTTGCTAAATTGTAATAGAGAAAATGATAGTAATATAGCTCTAACAATGTGTGCCCGCGGTTTCACTCGCGTTAAATTTTAATAAAAAATATAGTCTATTTGTTATTCTGATGCGTAAGTTATATTACTGTTCCGTTCAGGAGTTTTTACGTGAAAGACTAACACACACCAATGCTCACAACCTTTCACATTTATAATATTATTAAGATAAGATTAAGATTACATGCAATAAATATATTTTGATGCATTTTTTTTATATCATTCAATGCTATCAAGATATTAATTTCTTTCATTGTTGTAACATGTACCTGTAGATGGTATAGATAGTATTGGGAATTCAATTTTTTTAGCTATCTTAATTCGTGTATACCGAAACTAGGGAATCTTACTGACTTCTTTTATATATCTATGTATTAACATGGCATATGGCTTGAGTGGTCGAGTGGTTTAACACCCTGCTTTTCTTTTGATGGTCGCGGGTTTGATATTTCTCACGGTGCAAACGTTTGTAGTCATGAGTATGATTGTTCGAATCGATCTGGGTACATTATGTATGTATTAACAAAAAAACATATCTACGTATTTTGTACGAATATATGGCTATCCAGTTATCTAATACCCATAGCACAAAATAGCTCTGCTTAGCCTAAATAGCGTTTTGTGAATTGTCCCGACATATAATAATATTATTATATTACTATAAGTACTTCATTTTTACGCAATAATGTACCGTATATCCATACCATTACGTTATAATATCGGCATGTTATTGTCGTAGGTAATTCTCAGCAAATAGGTAGGTACATACTGGAGTCATTGTTATTTAGCACAATTGTATACGAAATTATATCTAGCCCCTATATTTGCGTTAGAAGAATTTAAAAAATGATATTTAAATATAGGGGCATTATATGAATTACTATTCACAACTGTGGTAGATATCTATTTAAATTGTATTGAAATATTTCACGAAAACAATTTTTGCTAACAAATTATTGACCTCTATTTGACCACTGTTGTATTTATATTTTTGTTACTATATAACATATAGGGGTAATTTGCCATTCATGTATAATTGTATAAATAAAATTGGAGTGTCTGTTTGTAATATTGTAATAACAGTTTTCTACTACATGTATATGAATATAAATACGGTACATGCACCAAAATAACATTTTTTTACAATTTTTGTCTGTCTGTCTATTTGTTCCGGCTAATCTCTGAAATGGACTCCGATTTTGACGGGACTTTTTTTGGCAGGTAGCTGATATAATAAGGAGTAACTTAGGCTACTTATATTTTTGAAAAAATCTTTACTTTAGAACAATAAAGTTAAATTCCACGCGGACGACGTCGCGGGAACTGCTAGTGATCGATAATTTCACTTCATACTCTGTAATTAATTGCCACACATATACAATAATACACAGTTTACAAACCAAACTTCTTGGCGGTTTTAATAGGTAAAACATAGTTAGTTGAGGAGGGCCCGCTTGCAGTCAACCGCCACTGAGATCGCGGTTGATTGTAAACTTGTTCCCCTAACTCTGGCGCGGTGTTATGGCAACTTTAGGTTGGCAACGCGCACGGGACACCCCTGGTGTTTCAGGCGCCAATAGGCTACGGTAACTGTTTACCATCAGATGGGCCATATGCTTGTTTGCCACCTACGTAGTATATAAAAAAAATGCCGTGGGGTTTTTGCTGAGTAGGAGTCTTACAATAGATACTCGTCCCTCCAAACTCTGAGTTTGGCGGGCATCCATGAGGGATTTTTCTCACGTTAAAAAACAGAGTTATCCAAACGTTTGTGGAAAAAACACAAATGTTTTAGAAAGGCACGGAACCCTAGCTATGTTTCGTCTTACACTTATTATAATAAGTACCCACTGGAGAATAATTTTCTGTATTTTCTCTGTACGATATTATAATGTACCTACATTATTTTAGCCAAGTTTTTGACATTGTTTTAAAATTACAAGTCCCAATAAGCGTAAATAAGATAAAAAAATAATTTTAACAATAAGTGGATAGCGTAATAACAAAATAATTTTCCCGCAATATTGGTCATTGTATATGATTTTAAAACAACAGTATTTATTAATTATGGTTAAGGTTTACAGTATTGATATTATTATTATAGAAAGAGAGAACGGATTTTGTTATAAGAAAAGTAAACTTTAGAACCAGTATACTGATTTGAGAAATTCTATCACTGTTTAATCTTAAAAAGTTTATTTCAGGGTAACATAGAGTATATAACTAGCTGTACATGCGACTTCGTCCGCGTGGAATTTAACTTTATTTTCTAAAATAAAAGTAGCCTAAGTTACACCTTATTACATCAGCTACCTGCCAAAAAAAAGTCCCGTCAAAATCGGTCCAGTCATTTCAGAGATTAACCGGAACAAACAGACACACAGACAAAAATTATGAAAAGTGTTATTTTGGTGTATGTATTTACATTCATATACACGTAAAAAACGTTATTTCAATATTATATCCATAACACAAGCTTGAGCTAGCTTAACTTGGGTCTAGATGGCGCTGTGTGAATTGTCATGAGATTTATTATTTAGATTTATGTTCAGATAGCAGTGCATGGGGCCCATAACATTTGCTAATGCTGCTATCCGGCACTGTCAACAAGTAAATGGCCTATTATTATGAAACTTAGAAACTACCGAAGGCATTACAAGTGTATTTGATCATGTCTTAACACGAATAATCGTTACATAGTATGAAACAAGGCCGCTGTCGCTGTCTGTCCGTCCCTATATCTATATGCTTAAATCTTTAAAAATACGCAACGGATTTTGAAGCGGTTTTTTTTAGTAGATAGAGTTATAGTTAATAGATTCAAGAGGAAGGTTTATATGTATAATACATGTACACCCGGGCGAAGCCGGGGCGAGTATCCAGTTTTATAATAAACTGGCTGTTACCCGAGATATATATAATCGAAAAAATTAATAAAATTGAAGTGTATGTATGTAATTTATAAATTAAATTAGCTTTTCACTAAATGCGCATGAAAATATGTACACAAACTTACATCAAAAAATAAACATTAAAAATTTATGTCTGTTTGTTTGCTTTTGCTAATCTTTGAAACGGCTGGACTGATTACGACGGGACTTTCACTCGCAGATAGCTAATATTATAAGGAGTAACTTAAGAAACTTTTATTTTAGAAACTTTATTAATTTTAATAAAAATAAAGTTATATTTCAGGCGGAAGAAATCGAGGGTAATATCTGGTTTTGAAATAAAATTATGATACAAACTATCTTTACGTCTAAATTCATAGTGATACGTTCAGAAAACGTAACAGACAGAAAATTTTAAAAGTACCTAACTATTATTATTTTTTACCGACTGTGTATAATTTTTCTGGAATTATTGTCATTTTTCGCGGCACTACACCTTCACCATACCACAACACACCTACACTATAAATGTATATATAGGTCCCTATAAAGTCTTAATGTTGGGGATATTAAAAATCCTGCCCTCTGGCGGACGCGGCGCGCAACATAAGTGACAGTTTTTGGATCGCGGGAACGAATAGCGGCGGTCCTTTTAAAAACTTGGTGCAAATTGGCGGATTTTTGGTGTATTTGGGGTGAGTATAGGGACAATTTTATATTTTACCAGCTGTCCCGGCAAACGTTGTTTCGCCTTAAAATAAAAAAAAATTAGGGGTGGACTATCCCTAACATTTAGGGAGATGAAAAAGTCAAGGTCGGTCAAGCCGTTTCGGAGGAGTATGGGAACGAAAACTGTGACACGAGAATTTTATATATAAGATTTATATTTTCGTGTACACAAAAGTGATTAGGTAATAGGCAGCGGCAGAGGTATATTTGTAAACGCCCTGAACCAGCGACTTTAACGCGAGGTGAAGAGTAGGTGACGAAATTATTACCACCGAATAACATTAATACACAAAGTTAAAACAGACTGATTATAAAAAAATAAGATTAAATACAAAGACCAAGATTAATTGTTCTAGTTTTATCAACCCTTTAATATTGGTAAGTTGTTATGGTAGGTATAACACATTTTAAATACAAAACTGAGGAAAATATTTCACATACGTGATTCAGAATAAAACAATGAGGTATACATAAGAGGAGTGTGTCCACGCAATAAAATTACGATGTACGTATACTCAGTATTCGTTCTATATTTATTCAGAGACTGCATTTCCCCTAGTGTAAGTGCGATAGCAGTATTTTCAAGCTTTTCAAATAACTATTAATACAAATTATTAATTAATAATAATTATTACATATATTATAATATATAATTAATAATTAATACAAATTAATACAAATAACTTTTCAAATAACTATTAAAAGTATTTTTTTCGGTATCCTAAAAATGAATTATAAGTCTTGGACATTTTGTAAAAATTTTATATTGTCTTGGATTGTTCACATGAAAGAGCTAAATATCCCTTTTATTGGTGATGTTTTAAAGTTAGATACGTGTAATTCTAAAACGAGCTTGTTTAAAGAAATATGACTAGTGTCAAATGTTGATATTAGTTGCCTTACCGTATAGATAAAATTTCATGAAGTTTAATTAGTTTTTTAATTTATATTTCTTATTAATTCATCAGTTCATTTCAGTTATAAAATCATCATTCAGTTAACGAAAAACACCGATATTAGACAAATTCAATCGAGAAACGGCGGTAGACCATTGATTTAAATATATTTAATGAAATGTGGGCATGTCGCGTGTTGCCGTTTACACACAGTTATGTTTTTTAAAACAATGAGTTTTTGAAGGAAATGGTTCATAGCAGCATGTTTTATTAGAAGGGTGGGGGACAGGCAGCCTTAAGCACTTGGCTGCCATAGCTGGTATTATAGACCGAAGGACAAGTCTATTACAGCGTAAGGTTACACGTCAAGGACAATCTCCAGTGAGAAATTGCTTCATGGTCGAGGGCATTGGAATCAAATTATTGCTAATATATACAAGATTGAGAATTAACTTAGCAATAAATTGTGTAACCTTATTGCTAGACCAAAGACAATATGTTCAGGGCGAACGAGTTAGACTCAGGTTTATATTTTAGTTTGTAAGTATTTTCTTATAGAAGACAAAGAAATATTTGTTTAGATAAACTTAAAAGGGGAAACGGAAAATAATGTTATAGTGTAAAGACGAAATCGGTGGTCTAGCGGTTTAGCACATCGCTTTACTTCCGATGGTCGCGGGTTCGAATCTTCGCACGGCACAAACATTTGTATTCATGTTTGTGTAGGTCTGGGTGTTTTCTATGTATAATATGTATGTATTTACGAAAAATATGTATTTGTATCAGTTATCTAGTACCCATAACACAGGCTTTAGCTAGCTTAACTTGGCTCTAGATGGGGCTAAGTGAATTGTCTTGAAATTATTATATAATCTAAAGTTGTATAGTGAAGCAATTTCTTAGACTTCTCACGTACTAGTAAGCTCGAATCAACATCCAAGTTATTTACATTATTTATTTATTTAAGTGTCTAGGTTTAACATTAAGTGAAAATCGAGTGGTTGAACAACTATTGTCATAAATAAAAAAAAAACACTAACCTCGTTTATCCTGATCATGATGTCTATTAACTAAACACATTAGATGTTCCTGGCAATGCGGTGCTTCAACTGAATGCTTGTATGCTCTATAAACACGAAGAACAGGTTCTATCACTTCCAAGTTGAGGGTGTCTGTAATTCTATCAACGAGTACATGATAATCGCCGCGACTGGCCAGCGATTGGGAGGTGGATTCCGCCATCTTGAGGGTTTGCTGAAAAAATATTGATTAGTATTACTGGTATTTTCCAACTATTTGGTACTAGCTGTGCCAGCGGTTTTACTCGCGTTAAAATTCAATAAAAAATATAGCCTGTATGTTATTCTAATGCATAAGTTATATTACTGAAAAGTTTCATCAAAATCCGTTTATGTAGTTTTTAAGTGAAAGAGTAACAAACATCCATCCATACTCACAAACTTTCGTGTTTATAATATTATTAGGATTACTGTTGAGTTACTTTATTAATTCATAAATAAAAGTTTGTTTCCCGAATATAGCCGTCTCGTATCAAAGGGAGAAAGCGGTCTTAAATTGTAAACATTGAATTTTGGGTAAATATATATTTCGCATTGCTGTGGCACACATATACTCGTAACTTAAGTAGATTTTAATGAGGTATGGCCAAGCTTGTGAGTTTGAATGTGGACGACAGCAAAAGATTTTTTAATTAATTTATACTTCTGACTTCATCATCATCATCATTTCCGGGCTGCGGGAAGACGTCCACTGCTGGACATAGGCATACTTCTGACTTAATCTTTGGTAATGACAAACACCGATATTAGATTAATTCAATCGAGAAACGGCGGTAGACCCTTGTATTATATTGGATTTAAATATATTTAATGAAATGTGGGCATGACGCAGATAATTACGCAGACGCATAATAAAGCAGAAATTTAAACCTTTTGGTATCAGATTAATTGCTTTAAACGACACGACTCCAACTTTTTCTTTAACTATATCAAGCAAGTTAAAGAAAAAGTTGGAGTCGTGTCGTATCAACAGCTAAAGGGACTAATAGAAGATCGTGGAAGATGGCGGGAGCTCCACCGACAAGAGCACAGCTCTTAAATTATGAATGGAGGGGCATGACGCGTGTTGCCGTTTATGACTCGTGAAATTATGTTCTTTTAAAGCAATTAATCTGATACCAAAAGGTTTAAATTTCTGCTTTATTACTGATGCATAGGACTTAAATATTGGGCTCATGATTAACTCGAGTGGTGTCAATCCATTAGATGCAATGAATGATTGCAGGCGAAAGTTTTTATGTGTATATACCTACTTGAATATAAACAACAGCTGGCTCTACATAAGCAGACACATCCGTATTTATGTCCAAATATCTCTTCAGTACATAATTAATGAGAGACGTTAAAGATTCCGTAGGCCGTTTTACGTTGAAGTGTGTAGTCTTTGGCAAGCCTTGCGTGTCGAGAAAGCTGTTTAGGATATATTGACCCGAGGAAAGGTACCTGAAAAATATATGAGTACATTTTTTACTCTATTTAGAATTGAAGATTGTTGTTCTATTGTGTTTAAACATACTGCATGCCTCCAATTCAGATGGTCGAGTTTATTTTATGTAGGAAAAGCGAACAAGCTAATGGTCAACTCGATGGTAATTGGCGATCGCCTATATGATATGAACAGTACGGAGATCACGTCGTCTTAATTGAAAAGTGGTATTCATCATGTTTAATTCGAGTAATTTGCATTTCTACTGCAGACAAAAATTAAAAAGAAGATAATTCTCAATTAGACTGTAGTTCATCACATTTTCATAAAGCGTCTGAGTACGTAGCATTTGAGATGTAGAAAGATATAGACTTTTTATCACGGTTAATAAATGATCATCGGCTACATGATCGATGCTGAGGTCAGAATCTAGGGCATTCATATTTCAACTTACCTTTGATATACTTCAGGTTTAGACATTTGCACCACCATATCCGTCAGATATTTGGCCGCAGTTTTGATCCAATGTCTTCTAAACGAATGGTTCTCGAAATTCTTGAACATAACTTCGAAGCTGATGTTACCATCGGGCCCAGTGAAGGCTTTCATTACTCGTCTCAAGCCTGACTTCTCCCAAATGGTCTTCCCGAGTTCCGAGTTGATGAATAGATCCCAATACAAATGGGCCTTTTCCAAAAACGGTGGTAAGAATGTCGCGTGGTCTTTGTGATCTTCTGCACGTTTTTGGGCTTCGGGGTCCGAGAATGAACTTAACGTGTTCATTATTATGGGTAGTACGCCTGCTGCATTCTTGTTCCCTAAGAATCCTGATGCTAGACTTAATATACTTTCTAAATTTATATCATTCGGTTGCTCAGATTGCCTTTTTTGTCTATTGGGTTGTGATTTTGCTTCAGCATTGGATCCCATTTGGGATGCAAACATGGATATCATGGATCCAACTATTGCTGGATCTATTTTGCCATCCTGACCTCCCAGTAAACTGCCGAGACCTGTAAAGTGAAAATATATTTATTGCCTGCTTTCTCAAAAATATGTCTTTTAATCGCTATAGGACTGAAATCTTGGATTAAAAAGAATCAAAATGTCTATCTATATAGCACACTACCCCATAATCCGAATATTGCAGTTTATTCGTGGACTATGCACAACATTTGTATCGATGAGTGTGTTTATGATTTATTCATTCATATATACAAGTTATTTCCCATAAAAATGATTTCTGTAATCTGTTATCACATAATACAAGCTCTGCTTAATTTAGGACTAGACGATGTTGTGCTGTAATTTATCTTGCTATCTTGGTCAAAATTATACTACATATGATATATATAGTGAAACCGAAAGGAATAAATAACAATAATCGGCTAAATATTGGTTTGTCTACTAAGTAAAAAATTCTTACCGGATAAAACATCACCAGCATTCCCATTAGCTGTATCCTGACCCAACATCGATCCTAAAGTTTTTGCGTTATCGCCTTGCATCAAACTGCCAACAATATTCCCAATCGCTGACAATCCATTCAAGTTGTTGTTGCTATCTCCCATATTTTGTAGAAACGATGATGCAAGATCCAAAAAGGGATTTTCATCATCACTGCGTCCCCCCAAGATTGGTAGTGTTAAAATTTGACAGAACACCAGTAGCAAGCCGACTCTCGCCATTTTGCACCTGTAAATGTAAGTGTACATAAATTTTAATACATTCCTAAAGTTTTATGGATATTGCGAAGTTTTTATTGCGTTAAAGTAACGCGTAGCGTGCGAGAAAATTTTAGTTTGAACTAGTTTTTGATAGCGACTTTATTAATGTTGCATTAGACTGTCCAAAACAAGAATGTTTCAAGAAGCTAGGTTAGGTCTGTCAGTCGATTAGGGTCTTGTTTATGTAACATTGTTTGTATAATAGTTTACTCTAAAAAGTAGTGATTATTTGTAACATTTAACACTCATAGTTCATAATTGTATTACAAGTCAGATTATTTCAATATTTTAAAGATAAAATCATTTCTTACTTTTAAGTATTGATCTGAATTACCTGTTATATTTAGATACCGTCTCATTTATGAAATAGAATTTTTTCTAGACTCTAATTATATTCTGAACTGACGGCATGTTTCACTTAATTTTAATATATGTTTCTAATAGGAAATTGCAACGGAATTATATAATCAAGTTTCAGTGTATATATTATTCAAGAAACACTAAATATTATTTCGTAGACTTTAATAACTATATTTTCATTTAACAATAGCCAATTTATCGTAGTCTAACGCTACTATCGAACATAAAATTAGTAATTGGATAAATAATTAAATAAAGCAGTTCGGTGAATTCCGCATGCTGATGAACTAAACTGATTTTAGGCTTATGAGTAGTTCTTACATATTCTTAATTACTAATAATAATTAGTTGTTTAGTGGTAAAAATAGTGTGAAAATTTATTTTATTTCCTCACACTTGCAGTCCGCTTAAAGCGTCAAAGAAAATTCGTGTGATCAAAATAATTCTTCTTAGATAACATAAGTTAATATAATGTTAGAATAATAATATATAATTCATATAACCACCTACATCCATCATATATATAAATTATACATTCACGAGACAGGCATACCTTAGTGTGGGGTTATAGCTAAGATGTTACTAAGTCTACCGAAATAATATTTATTCTTATTCTAGTTATAATATAACTTGAATACTTAGATAACTAAGATTAGTATTAAGTGTTATATATTTAAACTAGCTACTGCTCCGGCTTCGCCCGGGTGTATATTTTATACATATATAAACCTTCCTCTTGAATCACTCTATCTATTATAGAAAACCGCTTCAAAATACGTTGCGTCGTTTTAAAGATTTAAGTATACATAGGGACAGATAACGACAGCGACTTTGTTTTATACTATGTAATGATGATGATATGGTATTAGAATAAAAGGTTTGTAAGTGTGGAAAACACAATTATTTTTTATTCTCGTTTTTAGTCGACTAATATGAACTTTATTTTTTGGGAGTACGCTGGCGTATCAGTGGTAGACGATATAAAGAGGACGAAAGCATCTGACTAAGACCATTGTGCTGATCTGTTTGGTAAGTGTGCATATTTTATGTATTATTTGTGTTTGCGCTTTTGGGGTACGCATTTGCCGAAATTTATTAGATTTCCGCGTGTAAGTCGATGTAACTGGGTAGATACCTAGCAACGATCTAGTACTGATACCATTGTGAGCAAAGATTATATCAAAACATTCTTAATAAATCTAAACCTCTCCTCCAACATTATTAGTAACTGAGAAAGTAATACAATGTAAAATCATTCTCTGAGTAATAGGCAGTCCGTGCAGTAATAATTAACTTGTAATAGATTGAACTAACGGTATTTAAGTGTTGGAATAAATGCTATGCCACGAGGTAGCGTTATCATACAGGCCTACATGATGGACTTCCATAAAAAAAGTACATGTAAAAAGTGGTCGAGGAGGGTCGGGGGGATTACTAGTAATGACTAGCTGTATAACATTTTAGTTAATAAACTAATTGGAATAAAATAAAAATAAAAAACCTTTTATTCATGTAGGACATTTTAGCCGCTTATGAACGTAATTTTTTGTAGTAATATTTTTTTCCTTACTGTCCAGTTCAGTATATAGATTTAATTGAAGCTTCTCACAGTAATAATCGGTTCTAATTTGGTTTTTATATCAGTTTTTTATATTAGCGCGTACAATGCGCAAAAAAAAAGGAAAAACTTCTAACTTATATGGTTTATGGTTCTATTACGTTTACAAAGTCCCTCAATAATAATTTTTCTCATTAAAATTCCGTGTAGTACCGGCAGCGATCAATTACGTTTTTATTTAGTACATAGATTATAGTTATAATCTTACTATAAACATATATATAAACGCGGAAGTTTGTGAGTATGGACGTATGTTTGTACTCTTTCACGCAAAAAGTACTGAACGAAACTTTACTGAAATATAGCTTTACAATAATAAATAGGCTTAAATTTAACGCGGGTGAAGTCACAGGTACAGCTGGTATTGCATAATTTATTAATATATTCTATTTTCCGTGAACAATATTGATTCTAAAATGATCTTATATATAAAATTCTCGTGTCACAGTTTTCGTTCCCATACTCCTCCGAAACGGCTTGACCGATTCTCATGAAATTTTGTGAGCGTATTGCGTAGTTCTGAGAATCTGCCAACATCTATTTTTCATCCCCCTAAATGTTAGGGGTAGTCCACCCCTAATTTTTTTTTATTTTAAGGCAAAACAACGTTTGCCGGGACAGCTAGTTTTAGTATAAATAGCGCTATCATGTACTTTTAGCGAAGGTTTTGTCGTCCAGGTATAGCATATTATTCGCACCATAGCGTACTCTATCGGAGTACAGTGCAGAGTAGACCTACATATATATTTATTATCATTACGTAATTGCTATTTCGTAAAGATAACATGATAATAATCACCTATATCAATAACGATAATGCAATTAATTCTAAACGATAAAAAATTGGTATTCAAGAATTACAATATATAAAAACATTCTAGCCTTTATTTATAAAATCTTTTAAAAGTGACTTAATTTTTTTTTCTTTTGGTATGGCATTCACCCCGATTTTGGGTACTTAGATAATAGTAATAATAATAATAAAATAATTCTACGCAAGAATACTTTTCTTTATTGTATCCGTATTTAGATGGGTAACAAAAAAATATATTGGAAGTAAATGTGCATAGAGAACAAACAAAAGGTAAAGGATAGGTCATATCGGTTTAAGTAAGTATCGGATGACGCATCCAATACAAACGTATTCCAGAACATGATATTATTTACTTCAGTTATAACGAGGTTTTTTTAAATTAATTACAATAATTTAATGAAATTGCTGAACTATAAGTTAAGAAAAAATGCAGAATAGTTAATTCTAACTTCTTTGCTATATTAGTATTGTCTATATGTACTAGGGTTCATTCCCGGGAATTCTCGGTTCGAGAATTCCCGGGAAATTCATGGGTTTCGTTCCCGGGAAATCAAGCTCGAGAAAAGTCGAGAACTCGAGAAATCATGTACCTATATAGAAATTAAATTGCCCTTTGTTTTGTTGCGTGGCGGCGCAATAATTTAAGATATTAAGGTTTTTGTTTTCTTTCATGTTATTTTTTTATTTTGTAGAAACTATTTTTGTTTACGTTGTTTTTTTTTCTAAATAAGCAGCCAAAAATGGTGCTGTCATTATAAATATAAGTCTGAATAATTAGGTCCTAAGAATTAGAATTGCCGTTTTGTAAGGGAATAACCTGAAGTTTTTTTTTTCAAAATATAATATATTTATTTAATAAAAGTATGTACCATTGCTATTTATGCACTTTTGCCTTTTGTTTTTGCACTTTGGACTGCCCCATCGGAGTTTAATTTTTTCCCTTACAAGAAGTTATCCAAATTTCGAAAAAAATGGTAATCTGTTGGAGCAAGTTCCGGGAAGTACGGTGGTTGTCTTAGACATTCCAATTGAAGCTCTTCTAATTTGGTAACTGTCTGTTGTGCAGTATGTGGTCAAGTGTTCTTGGCGATTGACCAGCCTCGATTGTTTAGCAGCTAGCTTTTCCATCATGGTTTCTCAATTGCTGACAATACACATTTGCCGTAATCGTCTGGCCAGATTTAAGAAAGCCGAAGTGAACAACACCGGAAATAGTCCATCAAACGTTCACAAGTAACATTTTTTGAGCCAATTTTCGCTTGGGGCGGGATTTGGTTGGTTCGCCAGGGTTTAGCCATTGCAATGAGCGTTTCCGATTATCGTACAAGATCCACTTTCCATCACAGGAAATGATTTGATTTAAAATCCCTTCATTATTATGCCGGTTGATTAACGTAACGCAACAGGCTACGCGCGTTTGTCGATTTACTCCATTGAATTCATGAGGGACCCACTTTTCAAGCTTTTTCACCTTCCCAATTTGCTAAAGGATTAAAACAGTTTTGTCACTAACACCGCAGCCTGCAGCTAACTCGGACGGATTTGCGATGGATCCGCTTCCACAATAGCCTTCAATTCTTCATTATCAACCGTGGATTTCGGCCGCCCACGGAGATTGCTTTGCAGGTCGAAATTTCCAGTATGAAGACGTTGGAACCAAAAATGCACGTGTTTTCTTTTGCGAGACTACTGCCACACACGTCATTAATACTTCGAGCCGTTTAGCACCGTGTAGCACTGGTGCCACAACGGAACTCGTACTCGTAAATAAAGCGATATTTTAAGTTTTTTCATTTTGTATGCTGTGAGTGACCCAAAGTGAATAGCTGTATAAATTTGGAAATGGAATTCCTAACCAAAGAGTAGATATTTGAGATCAAAGTGGCCAGTACGACAAAACGCCATTTTCATATATAAGGACCTAATATTATTTCTCTATTTAAAAAAAAATAATTTATTCATAATATTAATGTTTTTAAATATACTCAATAAAAGTTTAATTTGATACTTTTATTTGAGAAGAAAACTACTGAATTTTTTGACGTTATTGGAACCAAATAATATGAGAAAACGTACGTAAATGTAAATTTCTCGACAACCCGAGAAGACCCGAGAAATTGACCTCGAGAATTCTCGAGACCCGAGAAATTAAAAAGCTCGAGAAATCATGAACCCT